ATTAAGAAGTTACAAGGTTCATATTAAAAAGGTCAATATTAAAATGTCATTCCAGGGCCACCTTACGCAGAAAGTCTTCATTTTTCAACTGGCGATTTGGACCAAACTCATTAGAAGTCTATTGCACGTGTTTCACATGAAAATGAAGCGTATTCTTTCCTCTATCTAATGAATCTTGCCGTGTCTCTCGGCCTTTTGTAAGAATCGAATGTACACCTAAAAACTATCGGCCCTCGCTTTTGTTGATAAAAAAATATGATTTTGTTTGACAGGCTGTAACAACACTTTATATTTGTCAAAAGCAGTTATTTTTGGTATCAAAATAAAGCACACAATTTCAACTTTTCACATATTTAGCCATCTTGGCCAAACAGTGCATGTATCCAGGCACTTTTCGTGTTTTTTCTGTAGTCTCGCCTAAATCTCGTAAAACCTCGCGTTTGCTTTTGGGCCACTGTGGTCAAACAGGGCTGTGTGCGTGACACGACCACTGACTGTATCGTTTTAATAGATTTCATGCAAGACTTCCATGCAAGACGGCCGGAGCTTATTGTTCACTAGCTCGCACTTGTTTTTAACCAAACCATATTTCCAAAACAAAGTTAGATAATTTCAACCACATGCCGCCAAGGCCGAAAAGTCCGAGCCTCTTGCATTTGCAGGGGCGTTGGAACCGGTGGGCAGGGGGCAGGGCACTCCCCCCTCCTCCCCCCCCCCCCCCCATTTTCCCAGGTCAACCAAAGTGCCCCTCAGACGGTTATAAATGTGCCCCCTCGAGATGAAAACAAAATGATCCTCAAAGTAACGCACACGTATGATAGCAAACGATCGCGTTACAAATGAAATTGTCTCCTCTCTTGTAATGCAAAACTGCCCCTCAAAAACACAAGTACACCTCTCGCATTAATAAGATTGTGCACCTTCTCGAGATGGAAAAATACCCCTCGAAATTACAAACACCCCTCTCGCGATAAAAAAATGTTTTGCCCCTCTCAGGATGGAAAATAGGCAATCAAAAACAATAGTGCTCCTCTCGCGATCACTTCTCGAGATGGAAAATTGTCCCTCGAAGGCAACATTAAAATTGGTGCCTCTGGCCCTACCAAGATGGAAAACTGGCCCCTAAAAATAACAGCGGTCTCCACGCGAATAAAATGGTCACGGAACTGGCCCTGAAAAGCAACAGTGCCCCTCTCGCGATAACAAAAACAAAATGGTTTCTCTAGGTAACACTAGGTAAAAGGAACACAAAGAGCAAGATGGACAACATATTTATGTTTCTCGTCATATAGGATTATGGCGAAATGAACGTGAACTTATTCTTTCCCTCCCATGGGCGTCGCCAGGATTTTTTCTAGAGGGGGCAAAACATATTTTTACCCAATTTGACTTCGCGCCTCATTTTCTTTTCTTTTTTTCCCTTTTTTTTCCCTTCCTTTTTTTTGTTTTTGGTGTTTTTTTGCTTTTCCATGGGGGGGGAGCGCCCCCCCTTGCCCCCCCCCCTCGCGACCCCATTGTTCCCTCCACTTTCACAACAACGGAAGGTGCCCCTTTTTCTGAGCAAGAACCCCGTTTTGGTGTCCCCCCCCCCGCCAGGTTTGAAAAGCGTTCCGCCGCCCATGTGTCTTTGTTTGTATTATGCTTCAGATCAATCCAGTCAGCAAGCAGTTTGCAGCAATTTTATTCATTGTTCATGCATGCTTTACTGCCCCTCTGCTTGCGCGTGGCTCGACCAATCAGACGCTAACACGAAAGATTGCCACGGAACATGCCAACCAATAAACAACCAGGATCCTGTCCGGCTGCGTATCTGTGGGGAAGGCCCGTTATGTCTGGGTTTGCTAAGGCAATTTAATCCAACCAAAGGTTTGTTATCATTGTTCTTTTTAAACAAATCCTAAAGAAAATGGAAATCGCTGGAAACACTCTTTAATCCAACCACTTCATAATATCTTCATTACATAAAAAAGTCACTTGGACTGAAGCTATTTCCATTGCGCATGAAAAACCACTAAAGGTGTGTCCTCCGTGGTTTTTTTTTTTAGTTCCACTAAAAAAAAATGTTTGTTTGTATTGCGTTTTTCCTGGCAATATAAAAGGTATTCACTTTTAAATGAGACATAGAACGAACAATTCTTCACTGAATTCGAAATATCAGTTCATTTTGCGAAAAATGACGGTCATTTTTTTCTTCAGAGGGTTGCAGACGCCCAAATCGAAATAAAGTATCTATTTTGTTCAAACAACTCACACAAATTTAAAATTCGTGAGGAGAAAAAGAACACGGTATCGTCTTTACATGAAAGAAACATTTTAGACTTATTTCGTGGGGTCCATTCACAGTAAATTGTACTGGTTTTGGATCTAGGGTGGCGTATCCGCATCGTCATGTTGTGGGTCGGTGATGAAGCATTACTGCATCGACATCTGAACCGTCTTTTTAAAAAAAAATACCGCGGGGGAAGGGGTGGGTAAGTAACACCCCCCCCCCCCCCCCCCCCCCCCCCCCCCCCCCCCCCCCCCCACTGCGCTAAATACGCCACTGGTGATACAGCATTTGAAATTTTATGTGTGCCTTGGACGTTGCACACCCATAAATGCTATTTTTTGCAGAGTACATCTTGGAGTATTGATATCATTTCTGTTTCATCTGTCTACAATTTGGCTCATTGTCATGTACGTTGAACTGTGATGCAACCTTCCCCAATCTTGTGCCCAGACAATTTTCTTGAGAATTTAAACTGAGAATTAATGGCGACCGTCAAAACATCACCGAACTACAAATGTTTATTTAACTATGAAACAAGTGCACACTGTCGCTTTTTGAAACTTTTTAAAAATACTTTAGAATCGTGTAGAAAATAAAGAAGTCAATGTATGGACTCACCGTAAGCTGCAGCCAGAAGGGTTGCAAGGGCCAAATACGTAGACAACATGGCCGTCATTGGTAAGCTGACATGCTGTTTGCTCCCAAAATCTTGACCAGTATCCAAAGTTGTCAAGAAGAGCACAAAATGAACTATCCGGGCCTAGATGAGCTGCGTGGTACTGCCGCACACGATCCAAAACGATATTGATACTTTCCCGCCAGACACCTGTCACATTGCTCGTTGTCAAAGTAATTAGATAATAAGGGTTCTGTGGGTGCCTTTGTACATTTTGGTTTCCATAGGTACTGACCATGGAAACGCACAAATATTGCTTCTCAGACCAGGCCTGCCTGTTAACCAGCTGTTTGAATAATTGAATACTTGGCGGGGTTTTTTTTTCAACAAATGAGCCAGGCAGTAATTATGAGACAGGAAGCAATCATGTGTGAGTTGTTTCTCGCACAAAAAACGACACTCCTCAATTATTCACTGGAAATAAAGCTCATTATTCAAAAACAATCTAAAGTGGTTCCACATCCGCACGTACATGTTCAGGCGTAAATCATACAAAGGGTTCGAAAGAACAAAAAATACGTGGATGAATTAAAGAGGTTGTGGAATGCTCGAAGACATTTCCGTCATTTTTGGGGTATATGTAGCCTAGGGTGTGATGAAATACAAACGACTATTGTGTCTGTCAAGAAATGAGTACAAAAGGTACTTTTGAGAGCTGTTTTTCATGTCCTGTTTCGACCCGAATGTGCAATCTGTGTAAAAGTCGTCGTTGGGGGCAGCAAACAAAACATAGTAAATCGTGACGTAATAAACAGGACTCCCGATGCAGCGAATATAAACGAGTCCTGTTTATTACATCACGATTTTTCTCATTTTACGAAGAACCCGACGACTGTTGATTTTAATTATGCGCTTGCCGACCAACAAATTACTCGATGAATTTCAGTTTTATAAACACATAAACGCACATTACAAAAGAATGGGACTTTGTCATTATGATATATATGGGTCTACTCTACAATAAAAAAAAATATATAAAAAACCAAACGACTTTCAGCATTCCACAACCTCTTTAAAAGGCGATATACAAAATTTGCAAACAGACGATCAGAGCATACTGACCGGAACGTCGAGTTTATACCTCTGGTTCTTTTCAGAAGCATTCTCTCCGTTGAGAAATTATTCGCACATAGTTTTTCCGCAAACCTTTCATTCATTAGTATCTCCACCATGCAAAGCCCCAAATCTTACTTAGTATAATCGTTATTTATTTATTTTTTTTTCTTTGGGGAGGTATCAGAGCAGGGTGGTTTTCACATTCGTTTTTTAATATATACACATGTATATAAGGAAAAAAATTGAGTCAGAGCTGGGGGGTTCGACCCCCCCCCCCGGATCTGCGCTTGGAACCGGATAATGTAACATGATACTACATGAAGATAGCAAATTGTGCCAATAGTTTTATTGTGCCAATAGTTTTATTTTTCATACCATATCTTTTCAAGATAGCAAATTGTGCCAATAGTTTTATTGTTCATACAAACATCACACACAACGAAGGAACTTTGGTAGTCACTAAAACGAAGTTTGCCAATTCCCAGTTTATATTATTGTAAAAAGCATAATACAAGTCCAACTCTAAGATGTTACCTTTAAACAATATTTTATTCTTGTAAAAACAAAATTTTATACTAGTGAAAACATGTACAGGGTCTCCAAAAAAAAACTTGTGCCAGCAGATATTCTTTAATTTCTCAAATATGACTTAACATGAGCATCTCATCTTGATGGAGCGTATTAATTATACTCTTGTGTATAATCAGTGAAAATGCCATGGAAATCCGTGCATGCAAACCAGAGATCTAACAGATTGTAAAGGGCTATGGGCTATGGGTAAATCCCATTCCAATGGGATTCACATATTATCAGTGCATCAGATTGTCATGGGCCTTTCCACTGTCATGTGAATGAAGTTAACTGTGTAAATCCCATCCAATATCACGACCCCTATTTTCCCCAAAGCGGAAAAGTAGCCATCTTGAAAAGGATCCCTCCACAACATGGCAAAATATTGCCACTTTCGCGCCAAATAGCATCCAAAATGCTCAGAATTGAAAGCCCCAAGTCCGGGCAAGAGGTTCGAAACCATATCTCTTCAATTCCCCAATTTTATGGCTCTCAGAACTCTCTAAAGGAGAATATTTTGAGGGTATAACTTTTATTCATGAGCTCGGCGGACAGATTTTTGGCATATTTGGCATGCACCCTTTAAGGGAAACCGTAACTTACGTCGAGAAAAGCGAAGATTCATTTTTCACATTTTTCTCAAAAAAGATATTTACTGTGCTGAATCAACTTCCACAGGTTATTTTTTTAGTAACCTGCTCCACACTTATTACCTCCGCCAAGGAGGTTATGTTTTCATCGGCGTTGCTTGTCTATGAACAGGACAACTCAAAAACTTATCGATGGATTTTCATGATTTTTTTTTTAAGGTGGTCCTTGGTAAAAGTACAAATCTATGAGATTTTAGAAGTCATCCGGATCTGCGTCTGGATGCAGGTTTTTTAAAGGATTTTTTTCACCCATCATTATAGAAAACTTTCACCCTATGTGACCAGTTTCGCGTGCGTGGTACTGACCCGAGAAATACTGCTGTTCAATATTTACAACCTATGCAGTTGAAATGTTTGAAAATTGATTTCATGGAGACACTGACGATTTTGTGTACTTCTGTGGTAAGACAAGCGTGAATTTCTTGATAATCGTGAGTTCAATCACCGGCGTCCATGCACAAAAGTTGAAACAGCGATTCAAATATAAACAATCGTGATGCGCGAGCGCAGAGGCCAACCAATCAAATGCTTTTAAATGGGAACTAGTTACCGGTCCCCATATCTTTAGGGAAGCCGGGAAACAGTCTAGGTGTGCATTCGTTATGACGTTACAATTCGTCGTCTCTAGCGGGCGCCATTGCGAGCCAAACTACTAACACGGCCCCTGATCTGGATGGCTGCTCCATATGCGTCGCATTTGCAGCGGAGATATTTGATGAGAAGTTATCAGATTGCAATAACGAGACCTGGAGTATTCAATGTAGAAATTGTGAAATTCCTCCCCCTTTACAGGTATGATATGCAATGACTCTAAGCATAGGGCAACAAATATGTCTTCGAGATGAATGTATTTCGTGCGCAAGGACATCTGGAAGACCTTTCCTGCTACGTCCGTCGACAACACGTAGCCCGTTCCGGCAAGAAACGGTGGGTATATGTCTCTGGGGTACGTCTCCTTGGATACGTACCATTTATTGGAAGGGTTACGAAAGGGTGCAGCACTGGGGAACAGACGCCCCACAGCGTAGTTTATTGACGGTGATCTAGTCAGGTGCTTGACAAGGTTGTCGTAGCTGACGTAAGAGTCGTCATCCGTCTTCATGACGTAGGAGGCGTGGGGGCAGTGGGTGCTGGCCCACTTCATAGCCATGATGGTCTTGAGCGTCAGGTTCTTGTAGGTGTCTTGGAAATCTTCCTGGAGGATATCGTGGTGTTTGTTGGACTCCTCCTCCACCTGCTGCTGAAGATTAACGTACTGGTTTTGAGCCAACAGGAACAGGGTGACGATCTTCTTTCCCATGACCTCTCGTGGGCTTCCCCAGGTCTCGCGAATCGCCTGTCGCTGCTCGGTGTGCGCGTGGATTGTTGCGATGAACACCAACAAGAACACTTCCTTTGGGGTTCCAGTGGCATCGTAACAGGCCTGGGGTTCGTCCATGAGGAGTTTGTACCCATGAGGATTGATGACGCGCCTGGTATCATCTCGGTCAGGTGAACTCAGTATCACCGATGTTTCCAAGTTTGTGTTATGCATCTCCCCGATATGAACCGTAGAAAATCCTTTCGTTTCCTCAAGCCTGTTGGGAATATTCAACGCAGTCAGTTTTGAGGGAATAGAAACTTTGCTGGCTTCTTTGACTGGATCAAATCTACTGAGTTCATTTGCATATGGAGAATAGATATTTGGAGAATTTCTTGCTGACTTCAAGTTAAGGATGGTGTTCTTCGCATTGCGTACATCATTAGACCGACCACGCGGATTTGTACGAGTTAAAGAACTAGCCTGGGTTTTCTTGTGGGTCTGGAGTACATTCACAATCTCTGGAGGTCGAGGGACAGCATCTTTCCTATTAGCTTTCTTGGACTTAATGAATTTGCTTGGAATCCGTTCCCGAATGTCTTTCAGTTTGCCTATCAGTTTGTGTACCTGCTTCTTGATACTGATGTTCTTCGCACTGGCTATAGCACCGAGCTTATAGCGCATGGGCTTCGCGTTAGTTCTGTGCCTACTCGCCCCGGAGCCATGACCTCTTGATGAGACATATGCTACAAACGCAAAGCACGAAAGTGCTACCGCGAAAGTTAAAATCAGGAACAGTTTTTGGAGTTTCATCACAGACGCTTGGTTCAGTTGTTGTTCAAAAAACATCAACCAGATTCCAGCAGTGCGGTGTAGACTCAGCAATCGGCTTGTTCGAATGAACTGTCGATACTTTGTGAAGTTGTTCAAGTTTACACTTATGTGAACGCATGCACCATGTATAGATTGGCACAAAGTCAACGAACAGAGCACCACGTTGTCTCGCTTGTGCAAGGGTATATACCGATCGTATCACAACTGAAATCACCCTGTCAGAACATCAGCTTGACAAAGACATCCTTGCAGTCAGTTCTGGAGGCACATGGTACATTCACCCGAATACGACGAATATTCAAGCACCGAAAACAAAAGTTGGAATGATGTTATGCTATACCTTATACCAGTGCAAAAGTAAGTATAGAAAGCTCCATCTCGCATTATACTGCATGCACCATTCGTCACTGCAGTCTCACACTGCATTATCCGCGCATTGACCCTGAACATGTATTATTATGTCGGCCCACGGATAATTTGAATCACTAAAGAATATCCGCGTTGGTGAATATGCATAGAATTGTGGTATTCATGAAAAGGCAAGGGCTAACCTTTTGATTTTTCCACCGTTATGGGGGTTTCATTTCTGCTGACGAGGGTTCCTAGCCTTGATTTCAGTCGTTACCACATTATATTCGGGGGAAATCGGTTTAGTGAAGGTTAAATGACAAAAGGAGAAAATTTTAAAGATTACACTCAGCGAATATTAAACGAGGGCAAAAGAGGCCAAGAATATAAAGAAATTGACAATGGTTTCTTTTGTGAAAGAAATTTTCCATAAATATTACACTATCTTCAAGGTGTAAACTTTATGATAGAGTCCGGTCGGAATGACGTCAACTGGGTATTTTGAAAGACCCTATGAAACCGGGGTCGAGCAATGTGATATCACAAAGTGAGAATTAACCAATATTCTGCATAGGCATGGTATTAATAAGGCATGCATTATGAGCATGTAAAAGAATTATACAATTAAAAAGTTCAATCCAAGTTCCAACGTCTTACATAATCAATGCAGTACATTGTACCGGAGAAAGATGATCCTAATTCTACTTTAAACTTGTGTCAGACTTGCACTAGCACATGCATACACTGTAAAAACGTTGGGCAAAATGGGTTGATATGTAGACCAATGTGGGTCAACATATCAACAGGTTAAACTCTTGGGCAAAGTTCTTCCCAATAGTTTTTACCCAAATTAGGTAATTTCAAACCAATGTTGGGTAAAATTATATTACCCAACAGTGTTTTGCCCATTATTTTTTACAGTGTAAAACAATAGAATCGTCATGGCTAATGAGTCAAATCTGGCTTGGAGCACACTGGTGAAGAAAAAGCCATTGACATTAAAAAAAAAAAAACATTTAATTTTGCAGCATAGTGCTAGTGATGAAGTAAAGCCAAAATATTGAAGGGGTGGTCGATTTATTTGTTTTCAGTTTAATGAAAAAAACATTTGCTTTTGCCGTAATTTTCAGAAATGGATTGAATTGGGGGTGAGTATTTTATGGCAAATATTGCTACACTGACTTGTTTAAAGTTTTGGGTTCGTAGATGCTGGGGGGAAAACAGAGAAAACAATCATGTTCCTGTAGTCTGGTTCCCTGACCCACTATTATGATGAAATGGAGCAATTTATAGACTTCGGGGAATTGTAAGGTCAGGGAAACAGTCTAGCTGGCTTACACCTGTTCATAGGTGTTTGATCGATTGCAAACAAAATGCGGATTAACTAAATATGGTAAATTGGGGGCAGTATTTGAAAAAAAGCCAGTCGGCCGACCAGTGTTGGAAATTGATGGGGGAAAAAAACACTTTTCTCGAAAAAAACAGCACACCAGGTGCCATGATTTTACAGGATATTTTCGACTGTCATTCACTAACAATTCAGTAAGGTATTTCATAATAATTTGATAGTTTTGTTTTTGGATGTTTGCAAATGTTGCATATTCCCTTTAATCTGCAAGTCCTGTTGTACCTTTCTCAGATTGTTTTGTTCTGTCAAACTCTTTAAACCTGTTTCATCCATTCTATTATAAGTTGACTGGCAAAGAAACAGCCATTACATTTTATCTTTGTTTGAATTCATCTTCTTTGTTCAGACTTACGAGTTTCTTATTAGTATTTGAAGAGCACTGCTTTTAGGACAATGAAAATACAGGTAAAACCAAAGTATTTGACAGCTTTTTTTTCTCGTTTGTATATGTTTTGATGTCAATAAGAATGGACGAAGAACGGAATGTAGGCCTTCTTGGTGGCAACCTATAACAAGCTGGGATTCTGTAAGAAACAAACAAAACAAAAACATGGACTATTTTTTTATCAATTGCAAGTGTGAATGCCCCTCAATCAATTGGAGGCAGGTGTTATTAGCGAATCTGCCTTGTTTAAACAAAATTCACCTTGCATTAATTATACCTACTACTGATAGTGTTGAAATCTGCATTATAAGCTATAATATACGAAGATTGAAGGGAGTGTGACACACTCCCCCCCCCCCCCCCCATACATGTCGTGTATCCGGGTGCACACCATTTCAAAATTCTGTTAAAAATACTCAGAACTCTCACAGGTGTTCAGGCTGCACATAAAAAATGATATCTTCTTCATATTTCAAAAACGTTCATTTGGACTTGTGCCTACGCCCACAGATTTAAGACAGAATGATAACGCGACCGGATACCAGTCTAAAAATTCAGTGGACAGCGCCCCCCCCCCCCCATAGACCAGAGAATCGACTTTGTAAGCAGCGTGTAGATGATAACTTACTTGATTTTTGGATGAAAGATGCTCTTTCTCAGAAAATTCTGATTGTTTAGGACAAAAGGACATCTTTTTGCAGATCGACCTCGGCAACTAGGAGAGAAAGATCGAAAATGTTGCTTTATTCGTTGGACGATATTGAGAGTTGAACGTTTCATATTGCTTATGAGGTTCATCAAATTGCAATTTAAACACATGCTTCTTGTTAAAATTCTCCATTATGTTCGTACATCAGAATATCGCACAACTCTTTTCAAATGAAGGGAGAATTGTCCAAGATTTGTTATGGGAAACCTTTAGGATCCTACGGGTTTTCGTCATCTCCAACAGGTTCCTATAGGATCCCAAAATACATATTTGCCCATATAACTGTATCTTAGAGATCCCATGGGATGTGTTGGAAAAGCTATAGGAAACCTTCTCTGCTATTAAAACCATTTTAAAATCGGTAAACAACACCAATTCCTCATTTCGTTAAGAAGTTAACCTTCACAACATGCTAATTTAAATTTACAAAAAGGACTCATAAAATTGTCACCCTTGAGTGACGTACTTCATCAGACGTGTAAAATTACAAAGTAGTTGCAATAATGTTTGTCCCTATTGCGATGGTTTATTTGGCAGGTGTTTATATCGAGAACATTTCTATTCCCCCTGGATGGGATGCCAGTCAATCAGAGGTTACTCCCTAGCTACATGTAGTCTGAGTATCACCCGTTGTCTGCTACGTCTGCTACATGCGACCCCGCGCGCCAGCCAATCGGAGTCGCCTCTATAAATTGTGACGTCATTCCGATCAAAAAGGTGGACTAACTTTACGACTAAGCAGTCACTGCTGTTGATTGGTCAATTTTGCTGCCATGTTTTTGGAATTCCACAACGGGTTGCCAAAGAATGAAGACGCCCGCTGAATGGTCAGAATCTCGTTCAAGACGCAGTCTAGTTGCATGAGTCACAACCCCTAATCAGTAGGCCACGCTTTGTTTCAAATGACGTTTGATTCAAATACATACAATAGAAATGTGTACATTTTGGTCGGGACTGACGAAATAATGCTCATGGTAACCGTGTTCTCTTTGCAACTGTGCTCCTTATAAACGTGCTCGACTGTACTCACAAGGTTCTGCAACCAGATCAGGGCAATATCAATCTTGAAGTCGCTACAATCGATGCCGAGGAGATTACAAATCTGATGTAGCTTGCCACGGATTATGTTCTACATTTGGAGGGATACAAATAAACTTCGATTTTAGAAAAGGAGTTGGATGAAAGACATATTCAAATATATACTTGGCGCATGAGTTATAAGTGTGGCAATCGTATACTGTTCAATCAAACGGTATTTCAAAGATGCAATGGGGATCTGAATTCATAATTCGTGTTTAATAACTTGGACATAATTAATTAAGTGCTAATATGTTTTGTTTTCATAAATTTATGTTATTAACACATTTTATCAGTCCAATAAATCTGATATACGTATACGGAGATCGACGCTTTGTATCGGCACGTCTACAATTCATTTTTTTTTTAATCCATTGATCTCTAGAAATGAAAGCAAGCACGGTATATATACAGGGTGAATCAAAAAGAAAGTGACCCGACTTAATGATTTTTTTCTTTAAAAGTAATCAAATTTGAAACACCAATAAAGTATATTTTAAACGAGCATGTTCTACTACTCATCTCAAAAAAGAATTACTGAAATTGATCCATGCTTTCAGATGTTAATTGTACACATTTTACCAAAAGAACCCATTTTTACAGCGGTCCAAGGAATGCCATTGGAAGCTATTAAACCGAGTGAGAATTATAGATTACACACAAGCATTCAGATACAATACAATTTTAATCATTAGACTGAAACAGTTTTTTCCAACGTCAGATTTTATGTTTTGAAAATGAGGAAAAACATTAGACATCTATTCTTTCCTGAAATAATAATGGCGATTTTGGTATGTTTTTCTTTGCAAGCTCTCCATTCATCGAGGTGGGAAAACGTCAATGTTTCATTGCATTTAATTGGCATTCATCACTTTGCAGAGAGATGAGCAGTGGTGGACAGCTGAACTGTGTGATCTTCATATTAAAATAGAGGTAACTTGGGAACGAAGTATGCAAATAACATGATTGTTCACAGTTGCTAGTCAATAGCATGTATTTTTTACTTTAATTCGGTCATTCTCTTTTTGACTCACCCTGAGATGTTTGGAAAAGTAAACAATGCATAGTATACCTGATTGGTTTTGTTGTGCAACATGTCGGACAAATCGCCCAGGAAAGTTATACAGTCGGCACAGGAGTTACCATTGTCCCTCACTGGCGGCTGAAAATGAGTATAAATGAATTGTTAATAATAGTAACGTGCTTGAAGTGCAGGACGAAATAAACTAACATTGCTTTATGTCTCCGCTTGCTTTGAGAAACATCTAAGTAAACCACTCGTTTATCTCACGAGCCACTGTATCTATTATATTCGATTCGACAAAGTAACTTGGTATGATTTAAATATCTGATTTCTCGACAGTTCCACGGCGTCTGGCGTATATTTTGGACAATTCACAACGTGCATAATGGTTATAATCATACAGTGGCTTTTAATTTGGATAACACATATCAGTTTATAGTTACATGTACTACATGTACAATGAATTAGAAAAGAATATCTTCATCCAACTTAATTTTTGCTGTAGTCGAAATCGGCTTCAAACACCACGGCGACGACCTACTCAGACAATTTGGATTTTTTTTTTGGGGGGGGGAGGGTACTCATAAAGTAATATTTCAGTGAAAAGTAAGCAGCTGATCTGGTAAACATTGTTAGAAATAAATAAACTTTGTTTCAACAAAATACAGATAATAAGCTACGGCATGATAAACCTGTTTCATTTTGAGGTTGTTTTTTTTTTTTATCAACGAGGTTTATAATTCCGTGAAATTGCTTTTCTAAGAAATGAAAGATATCCTACTTTGTTCAACTGATGGTGTTCCGCTCCGGACATACGTTTTTTCCTTGGACATAAGTCCAAACCAGAGCAGACACTTCCCGGCACCTGAGGGAAGAATATTAGCTTTTGAAGTTCAAGCGGTTAATTGGTTTGGGTTGAGCTTGGTTTAGTTAGGTTGGGTTGGGTTAGGTTGGGATGGGTTGGGTTTGGTTGGGTTTGGTTGGGTTGGGTTGGGTTGGGTTGGGTTGGATTGGGTTGGGTTGCGTTGGGTTGGGTTGGGTTGCGTTGGGTTGCGTTGGGTTGCGTTGGTTTGCGTGGCCGTGGCCGTGGGTTGGGTTGGGTTGGGTTGGGTTGGGTTGGGTTGGATTGGGTTAACATAGGCATTCAATACGGGACCGTTAAACAATAGAAGACAATATGGTCCACAATTCCCGAAGGTCCACAATCGACGATCCTGTACAAAACATATGAGAGGTCTTACTAAAAACCAAAGATAGAGGGTCCACGATTGAAGGTGTTTACACACTTGGGGTGGGTTGGATTGGATTGGGTTGGGTTGGATTGGGTTAGGTTGGGTTGGATTGGGTTAGGTTGGGCTGGGCTGGGCTGGGTGGAGCTGGGTTGGGTTGGGCTAGGTAGTGAATATTTAGAGTCTACTTACAAAGTAGTCCGACAAATAAGACAAGGCAATTGGCCCGTATTCATCTACAAGTTCTGCGCAGTATTCAGATCCAAAGATATGACACATCCCTTCAACTTTTTTCACTATTATTTCCTGAAAAAAAATCAATTAGTTCAAAACTAATACATGTTGAGGCATGAGTAAGCACCGATTTTCCATTAGGATGTGAGTTCCACAAGATTAAGGTATTTTTTTATATAGGCATTTTCATAAAAGTATATCATCTTACTCCCTATTAAATTTTCAATACCTGGTCTGTTTCGTTTCGAAGCATCTTGGAAACATCCGTCATGAAAGCCTTACAGTCTTCGCATATCTCCTGATCAGATTTCTAAGGGAATGACAAAACAATGAAGAATTTATACTGGGATGAATCTATTCAAACCTGACTTCATCTTGTACGTGACCTCAATCAGATGAGCATCTAACCAGACTTGGCTCGTTCCACGACCCCATCCAAGGTCGCTCTCTCACATAAATATTGTGAAAAAATCGTGGGTAGGTCACTTGCTGTAAACCAGTGTACTTTTCTCATGAGGGTTGCAGACCATTAAATATCCTTCCCTAGACCTCAATGGTAAATACCGCGCCACTTCTCAAGATACGGAAAAATACTCGCAACTCTCCAAGGTGTTTGAGACACCCATTAAATAAAAGCCTATTTCACCATCTTTCATTTTCTGTAAAAGTAGTCCTGAAGCCAATCGCTATTTTGAAAAATGAAGCCTTCGCTCCATTGCAAAATAGAGCAACTGTACGACCTATTTTCATCCAAATTTCACAGAAATACAATGTCGCAGTCCTTATCACGGCTGCAATCCTTATTTTACAAACATTCGAATTCATGGCAGACAAAATGCTTGAAACAAATGAGGGCGTCAAAATAATCTTGATTTGGCTCTCGAAGGCATTTTTGGGCCTTTTTATTGTCCTGCATCCTGAGGGCTGATCGCTCGTACAAAAAACCAGTATGGAAACGCAATGCAAAAATCAGAATGGAAACGCAATGCATTCTGGGTAGCTTACTATAGGAGAGAGGATGGGTACCAGGGAAGCTATTAACAATGCACATACATCTTGTGTGAAAAGGTAACAGTTGTCCAATGCAGCTGGGAACGCGTTGACCCCTATCCATCGGGTAAACAAAAATCATCCAATGACGCGCCGGCATATTTTTTCCCCCAAAGTGGCAATGGGATTCAGACAACTTTTAGGGGCGATCATCTTTGGATGGAATTTACTCCCAAAAGTCATGGGTTAACCCCCCCCCCCCCCAATTTTTTTTTTTTAATTAATGAACAAAAAAACACGTCATGTGTGCACGTGTCATGCGCATAATGCACGGAAAAGTTTAGACGAGCGACTGTGGGCCAAAAAAAGTTGAAGCTCGGGATGCAGCGTTGAAGTGGATTATGCCTATTTTTCCTAGATGTTAAAATTACAGTTAAAATTCAAGCTAAAGCATTTTGTAATCCCTCTGAACATTGTATCTGATTTTCTAATTAAACCTCTTAAACCTTAAGACAATGAATTGGTCAACTCACCGATAGAGCAATGTGAGGAAGGGCGATCAAAACTCCTGAAACCAGAAAAGAACACCTCGTTTGATAAAAATGATGAAAGGTCTTCTGATGAGGAGGGACCTTTTAGAATTTCCAACAATTTTTCATAACCACACAAACTCACAAAAGAAATTTCTTGCCAAGAGTTTCTTTTGTCGTTACAATGCAAAATATCAAACATTTCCGACACTGATTCCCATTCTACATCTTAATGAAGGATTGATGAACAGCATTTAAACATTCCCAACTAATCCAACAGGCTGTACAAACTTCACAATTTGCTAACATACATGTAGGGGATTCGGCAATTACATCAACATTACAAGGTAAAATGGCCTTATTGGCAATTCTAGCAATATGGAACAAACAGTGATGTCCGTGTATGACCTATTTAGCCGATTAAAACCATGAAATCTAATTAATGATTCTAAGAAATGATGCAAACCTCCTAGTCTGTAATCTCCTCGATCAGTACTAGACGATGAATGTACAAGTATACAATTTCAAAAACACTTTTTCACGTGTATTTACTCTGAAATTGCCCTGATGACCTTTTGGAAAAGCGAAACTGAAGCATAATATGAGGGGATGCTGAACAATGCATTTTATCAAAGGGTACGTTTCATTATTACGGAAGACCAGTTAGACCTAAGTATAGGCCTGTAATTACCTACATGCTGCCCACTAACAGAAAGTGAACAACACAAAGACATGAATTTATAACAAATGAAATTCTTAACATTCATGACGACAATTGCCACAGAGGTGCAACCAAACAGCTCTTATGATTAAAACATATTTTGTAATATTCTGTGGTCAAAAGTGTCTACAAAGTTCTGAATATAACTTGTACCCGGTGAACTAGAACGTATATCGTTGTGTTACTGTTTTCAATGATTTCTAAAACGGTTCAGTTGCTAGTCTTTCTCCCAGACAAGTCCCCTATATACACACAGTAAGTAAATATCTAGGCCCACATATCCAGACTGGTATCTTAAGTGCTCAAAACGATGCAAAAGAAGATCAAGCCAACTTTACTCACTATTTAGCCAGCAAATTTCTCCAAAACTTTCAAAGGGCAAAGGAAAGGTCCTCAGTATTTCACCAACCAAGTTTGAAACTCAATTCAATTTTTAAAGGAGACTTTTCTTCAATATTTGGCAGTGACTTGCACACGAGAGGAAAGTCAAGTGACTTCAAAATGAGGCTAAAGACTAGACTTGTACATGTCCATCCATGGTCCAACTGTTTGACAAGACTGACTTCTTCATTCATTGTCATTAGTCTGATATGCCCGACAATGGAGAAATGTGTAGAAATAGTGACCTTGTACCCGACATCCTAGATATTTCTTTAAGCACAGTCAGTGACAGTTGATTGATGCAGTACCGAAGGTTTGTTGGACTAGTTGTTTCAGATGTCAGTCTATTATCTTGTATTGCATGTTTCAGTACTATAAGTTTTGGGACTTTCACACACACTTTTGAGAGTCCCATATGGTCGGACTACAGGATATCACACAAATACCTGTTAGAAGAATAACCGTGAGAAGCGATGACTGCATGTTGAATAGCACTTCTCAGCCTCACGCCGTCCCACACTGCTTGAAGTTACTTAAACTGCAGCAAGAGAGAAATTCAGATATAACGAAACTTGTTCCGATCCAAAGTAAAGCATTAATGTAGATGTACTTGAACTGTGCATGTACGGTTGTACTTATGCAAGACGGAAATATACAGGATTTTCCATAAACAACAGCATGTATATACATGTACAATGTATACCCTTTGACACTATGTCCAATACACATTCAGTTTCACTTCTGTTTCCGACCCGCAAAATCATTGGTTCCATGTGCACAGGCTAGGCTACTATTGTTTCTTTCGAACTATTAGAGTTCACACAGCGTGACTGTACAACTCAGTTTTATCACTTTCGTAACCTGCGTTGCGACCACAAAACAAAGAACATACAACTGGATTTCCCCTCAGTTTACAATTTGATACATTAATTTGGTGCAACACTCAAAGTTCTCACCATAAAACTGGGATATTTGTTTTCTCAAGGACAACAACTGCATACGACCGCATACGACCGTCATTCTGGGCTTTGATGCAATACTTTTAGGCCCACTTTAGGTTCCCGGCTACAGAGACATAACCTTGATCAAACTGCACACATTCCTATAACACAACCAAAGGAAATACCAGGCTAGGACAACCACCAGACGTGTTCATTGTTGTTCATCGATCTGTTAAATTCCCAACAATCGAGCTTCTTTTTTATATTCAAAAATGCTACATGATGATAGCCCGGCAATACAAATCGCATGCCATTTTGTGCAAAGGAGGTTTCAAGCGTTTTGCCTATGGCGTATCCGCTGGCATAGCTACAAACGTTACAACATATCACAATGAAGTTGCTAACATCTGTTTTCATTCTGCTGGCCAGTAAGTACAATAATTCAAACTCCTTCAATAAACAACAAGGGCCGATTGAAAGGGGTAGTTTGGGTGGTTATTTTTTTACGTGGTTTTTTTTTTTTTTTACGTATTAGGCCTAATACTGGTAAAATAAGAATAGGCAGGCTAGGCTAGTCAAACTGCATGGTCTCAGCACATTTTAGTCTACAGGGGTCTAGCTATAGTATTAAGTCAAATTTTTAGGCCGAGGTGAGACTTAATTATAAGCAAATCTAAATCACAAGCAAAGGGGAGTCAGTCAGTCGGGGAGTCAGTCAGTCAGTCAGTCAGTCAGTGAGATAGGTACAACGAAGAGTGCGGGCTGGCCTAGTCCGAAAATTTGGGACTCTCAATACTGTGTATGAGAGTCCCAAAACCTAAGGTATTGAAAACATGCAAAAACAAGAAATCAGACTGGCACCTGAAAAAACCAGTCCAACACAGCTATAGTACTGCATCAATCAACCATGCCAACATGTGGCACATGAACCGGGAACTACATGTAGTCTCAATTTACTACACATTTCTCCATAGTCAAGCCACCTGACTATTGACACTGAATGAAGAGGTCGGTCTTTTCAAATAGTTGGACCATGGTTGGACATGTGCCAGTTTAGTATTTAGCCCCATTTTGAAATCACTTGACTTCCTCTCATGTGCAAAATATTGAAGTAAAGTCTCCTTTAGAAATTGAATTGAGTCTGCAATCTTGGTTGGTGAAATACTGAGTACCTTTTCTTTGCCCCAGTGGAATTTTGGGAGAAATTTGCTGGCTTAAGTGTGAGTTAGGTGAGCCTGATTTAGTTCTGCATGTTTCAGAGCACTCCAGAGCCCTGTCTGGGGCTGGCCCTTTGGGACCTCGCAAAAACCACACTTTCCTGACGATTCCTCAACCTTTAACGTCATTGCAAAATCTCAATTATTTAGTTCGCGTTTCCGTGTGTAGGCCTACTGACTTCATGACCTCATTACCCCCCCCCCCCATAAAAAAAAAATCCTGAATGATCCACTGAACGAACTGAAATTACATTTTTTTTCCTGGAAAGAATTCCATACATGACCATCACTAGATGTTTCCCTGCATTGACCTATCAGCCATCAGAAAGCCATAACTTGTCCTAAAAAGTCAAATTTAGCAGGGAAAATATTGAAGCACTGAGAAAACACTTGGAATTTTTCAGACCAGTCACATTGGGTTTGTGCACATGGTGTCAAGTGATGTCCAGGAATGGAACTCCTTCCTTTCCCTTATTTATAACGCACTTGCCAGAGATCGTTGAGAAAAGCAATCAGGCATATAGGGTAAAAAAAGGTCAAAGGTTAGACTGTTCTATTCTTTTTCCGTCATCAAAATCATTTACTTTCACATGACGTTCATTTGCAGTTATCCAAGTCGCGCTGTCGCTTCACCTCGTGCAAAATGGACCCGTCCATAAAGGCAGAAGCGACATGGAGGTAACAAATGTAGTTATTTATCTTCCAACTTGACAAGTCATTTCTATTTTTTTTTCCAAATTTCAATTTAATGACTGCTGTATAAAGTTCCTCTGCAAATTAATATTCAAAAACATCACTACAGTGTATCATAATTATACTTATTAGATATTTAACAAAAGATTGAAAAATCGAAGTTTTCTATTTAACTTATGTGCTTCATGAAATTCACACTAACGTTATGTTAAATTCGTTCCCTGATTTAACCAACATTTAAAATGTGTTCTTTGTATGTCATTTTTGAACGAAGGAGATTCGCAAAATGCATGCACAAGCTTTGCACATATGAAAACAGAATGCAAGAAAATTATATTTCAGATATGTTTTTGTTTTCAAATTGTCCTTATGTTCAATTCAACTACAGATTGTTACATCGACTCCACACACGTCTTAAATTATTGTGAGCTTTGTCATTATTTTTCAGCTTTTAAATAACAGTTTTTGTTTCGCTTCGTTATGCATACAGGCCACTGCAATCAATTGCACTACGTGCAAAAAATACATGGGAAAGTTCTACGAGGCAATCGAATTACATCTGAAAACTCTAAAGGTATGCAAGCCACAGTTATCTCGAAAAAAAAATACCATTTTTGTGTATCATCATTATTGATGAATAAATTGAACTGGTCAAGCGATCTCGAAATATACATGGGCGGCATCCCCAGGGATGCCGGGGGATTTCCCCCAATCATTTTTATGAGGGGGACGTTAATGGCGTGGTCTCCACCCCCTCCCCCAATAATGTTTCACAAGTGCGTATATATTTTGACCCAATTTAAATGTGCACGCTTTTTTTTCATTTGATAACTGTAAGATATTGCTTGTGCACCAGCATGCATTTTAACGGAAATTGCACGTGTACATATATGAACAGCGCCCTCTATAGTTAGGTGGTGTCCAGTCTCGCTTTTCGAACTTCCAAGCTGCTCTCTCGTCCCTCCAATGTTGACAACAAATTGCCACCTCTGCTTTAGTGTATTCGGATACTGACTGTAACATTATCTAAACCCTATTAAAACAGCAATGTAAAATAACCCTGTTTTAGCAATATATTGAGCAAATATTATTACATTACACGTCCATTCTTAATTAATTATACTCAATTGTAATTGATCACTGCACGCTAATGGGTTCACATTACTACGCAAGTAAGATATAGTCCTTGCAACTAATTAAGTAGTTAAAAACTATTGCTTGTACAATGTCAATATCAGTATCCGACTACATATCGGGAACCAGTAAGCATGTTGTACGATAACCAGCATTACATCATAACAATTATGACGAATATATACGAAATCAATTATAAAATTCATGACACTTCTTGTAAATCATCTACAGGACATACCTCTATGTTTAGGCTAGTCCAATCACACATTTGACACTTTCTCTGTTACCGGCTAATGAGGACTTTGACATACAGTCTACAGTGTCGATATTTGCAAAATGTAAAGTATCTTTTTTTCTAAAAATTTATCTTCAAGCCTGACATTATCAAAATCATCGAAGATATCTGCAAGACGAGTGCGGGCAAGGACAGCAGCATGTGTAAGGACGCTATCGACGATTTCCCCGACTTTATCATCAAGAAATTGCGGGAAATACTGGTAAGTAGAATCGGTTTCATAAATTGGGTGATCATATATGGATTTCGAAATGTCATGTTTTGTTGAAGAGAAGGATATCTTTCTTAGAAACTAATAACCGTATAACTCTTTGTTACGCTTGTGTATGTGTGTCACTGGGCAAGACCTTTTGCCATTAATTGCTTCTCCCCACCCAGGAGTAACTTGGCGCTTGTAATATGTTTGATCGCATTGACCTGTATACTTCCTACAGTGCCTAGATGACATATTAAAGAAATGTTTGTGGGCCAAATGATCAGGTGTAATGATATATATGTAAACTGTGTTCTATGTTAGTTAAAAGCGCTTCAAAATACATGTGTACCCATCTTAAATATTTGGCAGTTGGGTGTCCCTTAGCCGGTTAGTTTGACTTTTTCTAACAACTTCGTCCACCATTTTATGAGCTACCTCACCAGTCTGTAATTTGTAATTTATGTGTGCAGAAAAAAAACAATCCTTGAGAAGTTGTGAAGTAGGGAATTGGTTTTTAACTCTGGCTGATCAGATGTCCTGGGTAACTCCTGATGAGTTACTCAGAATGCCCTCGCCACTTCCTTCACAAGATTCTGTGAAGCTCATCAGCCCTTCCCAGCGCCCTGTTTGCAGGGCGGGGGTACGAGCGAAAAAATGCAGCACATGTTTCAACTGCTTGAGTGTCCTGCATCATATCAATCGTTAACATAAAAGAAGGTTTTTCTTTTTTGATGTTGGCATGATTTGTTTTCAATTTCTAGGTTTTTCAAATAATGTTTGAAGATAGATGAGTGAGATTGTACTGGCAATAACCATCATCGTGACAATTGTTTTAATATTCTCAGAATCCCTATGGCTTCTGCCCTGCGGCTGAGTACTGCCCCAAGGGAGCACACGAAAACTTGGAGACAGATGGGGTAAGATACACTGATAGCATGTATCATCAGATAAATTGAAAGTGAACTTTAATTATTATTATTAATATTTTTTTGCTATTTTGTTGAAGTTGGTATACACGTGCTTTTTCAAAAATTTCGATTTTCTTTTCCGTACGAAATTGAAAAGAATATGCTCTTGTAACAAACAAAAATTGCTCGAGTTTTTTTTTTTGCAGGCCTTTATACAGTTTTAAAAATTGGTTTTCAATGGCGCGCCCAAGTTCAAAAATTGCGCACTCTATTCAGAATGAATTAGGAGCGTCCCGCTCTCAATTCAAAAGTTGAAATTAATTAATTGATTACTTGTCATGGGCTGATTTTTTTCGTGCGATGTCTCATTGGAAAGTCCATAATGTAAAGCTAGAAAATTACCATTTCAATTTGAAAATATATTTTTCAAGGTGCCACACCCAAAATGCACGTATACAACAACTTTAAACTGATGTGTTTATTGTTTACTACATTTAGCAACAGGTTGCTGGGAATGACGAGTGTACTCAATGCCAGGATTTCTTCGGAGATGCCCGGCAGAAAGTCATCAAAAATGGCGAAGTAGACGTACGTTATTTTAAAAAAAAATATCTCGCAATCATATCTTTATAAATGACGAATAATTTGATAGGTTATAAGGTTTATATTATATGATACAATGTTTATAAAATATAAGATAGACTTTTTATTTGATCATCTTTGCCTTTAGTAATGGCAACTAGTTCTTTGTAGATAAGGTAATGTTTACCACATTACGTAAGTATACAACATTCAGGGGCGTAGCAAGGTCGATCAAATTTGATTGGGGTGGGGGGTAAACATTTATTGAAAAGGGCACTTGCACATCCGTGCTGAAATGTAGACACGTGGTTTTCTCCGGACACTTGGCCTTCATGAAATCAAATACATGTAGTGAGTTGGGGGGGGGGGGGCTAGTACCAGTTGTCGATGGGGGCACTGTTCAAATTGCACACTAACGGACAATCTATGGGGCTGTTCAGGGCGATACATGTGCGGAATTCAAACAAAAGGTACCCGTAACGGCGATGCCACCAAAAAAGGGCACGACTTTTTTTTGTAAAGGGCACTTGTTCAGAAAAAGGCACTTGTTAACAAAAGAAGGGCACTTTTTGAAATATTGGGGGGATAAGCGCGGATGAAAAAAAGGGCATTTCAATGAAAAAGGGCAGTCTTTACAAAATATGGGGGAGGGGGGGGATAAATACCCCCCTGACCCCGCTGGCTACGCCTATGAAATTCTGCCAAAATATCTTTCATTGAATGCTAACTCTATATGTTAATAATTATTGGTTGCAATATAAACAACATTATTAAGAATTGAATGATAAGTAGGTCAATCACCATATTATAGAAGTAACAGAAACTATGGCCGAACTGTATTAGCACCAGCTGACGAGATAGCAAGAAAGATTGGCAAAGAGATGAGATACATGTATATAACCTTTACTCTCTTCAGGTAGCCGTTGCCGATGAGTTTCACAAGGCTTGCGATTCCTTCTGCGCGCTCGGGTTCTTCTGCTACGAAATGGTGAAAGATTTCTTCCCGGTCATGCTGCGGAAATTGGCGGTTTTAGCGGTAAACATAAAATTATTTAGTTTAAGGGGATGATGTCATTCTAATTTTTTTCCTTCCTCATTTCGTAACTTAGTGGACTTTTATGTCTAAAATATTTGCATACATTAATTGTTGTAGTATATGACTGCAATGATGTAGCTCAGGTAGGTACACGATTGATGGGGAAGTGGGGAATTGTTGTTTTAAAAAAAATCATTTTTTTTAAATATAAATTTGAAATATAAATATATATATATATATCATAATCAATCAGGTGAATAAAAGATTGAGCGTATTTGTAATAGTACAGGTTCTAGTTTTGCTTGTCGTGGGACAGTTCTTTCAAATATCGGACAACAGTAAAATGACACCAGGAAGCAATTTTGCTCACAAGAGTCGGCACTTAATTCCTAGAAAAAAATGAAAAATAAGAATTTGGTTTAGTCCAAGTGATTATATCATAATTTCTGAGCGCCGTCGGCAGTATTTCAAAGCTTCAAATTAACACACAGACGCAGCTTTTTAACTCGACAAATGTTGACATAGTTGGGCCTATTCTGCCACAACTGTTTGATACTGTGTAAAGCAAGTGTCATATGAAGAAATCAATCAATCATCTATTTGTTAAAAAGACGTTCTGTAAAGTAACCGTGGAGTTTGTATTGGTTATTCAGCCTGATGACCTCACAGGATGCAAGGCGCTTGGATACTGCAGCGCATCAGAGAAAAAGAGAGATATTGAAAATGAGGGGCTTGTCGTCAAATTATTCCAGGTAAAATCTGATAAAATGCTCGATACTATATGTTAAAGTCACACATGTGAGTCTGTGACTAGATTAGTCAGTGTTTGGTACCAAGACTTTGACATAAAAAAGTGAACAAGAACTGACGAGTTTTGAACCCCCCTTTGAACAGTACCTGTCGAAGAGTTTTTACTGGAAGCAGGCAAGTATGCTGGTATACACGCGCATCTATTTTGACCAATGGCAAAGCACATGCCACTTCATGCATAATGCATGAGACGATGGTCAATATCTATTGGTAATGTCTTCGAATATCCGCACACCAGAGTTCGATGAGTGAAAGACTCCATACCATCATGCACCGACGGCCTGATATCGCGCGCATCTACAGTAACATTGTCCAGTGGCAATTTGCATGAGCAATTTGCATGCATATTGCATGAGCTGTTTTCCATTTCTATTTAATAGTAATGTCTTTTTGATATTAGAGTCCAATGAGTGAAGACACTGCACCAACCTGCGCCGACTGCCGGGAATTTATGGGGAAAGTCTACGAAGCGTTGGAAAAAGGAGTAACTGCGTTCATGGTATCTCTTTTTTTAAATTCATTTTGATTTATGTAAAGTAGCATGATTGCAGTTTCAGCAATGTAGAAAGTGTCCAAAATGGGGATTTGATATGCGGTTGAATAAGGAAAAAAGACAAGGAAAGTCTAGAAAGCTGGTCAACAGACCAATCTACGTCAGAGAGCACGAATTTCTATTCAGCTGAATCAGAATGGCTGTATTCACTGCAAGTCTTTTCAGGAATCTGGTATACACAATGGGTCGGATTTAGCCCATTCATTTACGTAACTGGATAGTCCTATACAATAGCACTTTTTTATAAAACACCGGAGGAAATCCCCGTCATCTGATTGGTGGATCGTTGATCACATGTTCTGAACTTGTCGAGAACAGTTTTTATAATACATAAATTGGATATTAACTTAGTTGTGGAATAGTTTAGACCGAAATACATTGAATATGCTGGCTAGTTCTGAACTTGTCGAACAGTTTCGAATAAATCGGACCGGTAAAAAGTAGAACATTGATGTAATACAGAGTTCACAAAATCAACAAATCAGATGACGAGGATTTATTCAGGTTTTATAAAACAAATAATGAACGTTTCACATTCGTGCAATGTAAAGAATAATTTCATTCGGTGACAGACGAATGTTCCATTCCACTCGGCATCGCCCCGTGGAATGGAACATTCATCTGTCACCTCATGAAATTATTCTTACCATTGCACTCATAAATATTCATTGTTTGTATACTGGCTCTCCTCGCCAGCCTACAACCAGTGAAAGTCACCAGTCAGCGTCAGTAAGTCAAGTGAGATAGGTACAAAGAGAAAACTAGGCTGGCTCTCAGGGACCAGCAAAATTTCATTGTCATTAATGATAAGATTAGATTATTACCCCCAAAAAATATGTTATGTTTTCCCCATATACTCTTCAAGCCTCTTATCGCAGCAAAGGTGTCTGAAGTCTGTAGTTTGGCGGGCCCTGATGCCGACATGTGCCGAGACGGTCTGAAGGATTTTCCTAAAGTGTGGGTGCCGGATCTCATAACACTACTGGTGAGGCTTTGCATGGGCTATAAGGCCAAGTAAAATAGAACAGTTTCTCGTCCTGGCTTTTTGGAGAAAAAAAGGAGGATATCCCGAAAGCCCCCTTTCCCCCAAGATGGCGGATTTTCAAAAATGGCGGATGGATTCTTCCGTGTTATTGACTCTTTTGCTGATACCTTTGTGTCCAAGTAGCCGTTACTCTTTCTACAGGATTTTTACTCAACATACATAGATACAGTTTTGCAGGGAAACAAATGAAAAGACAAAATATTTTGCAAACGTATGATTAAAAAAAGGAGGCGGACGAAATACGAAGCAAGCGAGCACGGGAAATTCGTTTATTTTTTTCATGGCTTAAATCCCAAAGTGAGGGGAAGGGAGTATGTCTATATTCCCACACACTTCTAACCTAGTCTATGTAATAGACCATGAGCAGATTCGCTGATTAATTATGCAAGACAACCGCATCTTAACCTCTAGATTTTGACCAATCAGCGGGCGCTTTCCATGTCGGGTCTTCGGTCATTCACCCGTTGACGCGTCATAGACACGGATTAAAAAAACCTAGACACAGCAACAAAGGATGTGGTCACGCGCTCTGTTTTATTTTACACGATACGCGCCCGGCCGTTGTTGTATTACAAAACACTGCATTCAAATTGACCAATCAAACATTTTGTCCTAATTTGGGAATGAAATGACGTCACGATTTAGTAAGGTCGACTCCGATTGGCTGAGGCGCGAGATCGCATAAATCTGTATGCTTTAATATATCAGACGTTATACAGGAGACTGGCTCCGTGGATAACGGGTGATACTCAGACAACTTGTAACCATGGCGTATGGGCCATTCGATCAGCTCCTCCCCTCAGAATGATATAATTGTTGCAGTTGTAAAAAGAACTGTGAATAAAGTGAATTAATTCACATCAAAACATTGCATGAATAAACATGACAAAATGCCATAAATGGACACTTGGCGTTCACATTATTATTTTATAAATAGCGCCACCTTGTGGAAATTTGTGTCGGTCTTTATCAACCGTTTAAAACCCGCCACGTGTCGGACTCTCGACCAATAGGAACTGTAAGCTGTCCTTGGTATTTATGAATTGTAAATTATGAGTGGCTACTTTTTTTGCTTTTAATCTTCAACAGAACCCGTACTTCTTTTGCCCAGAGGCCAAGTACTGCCCCACTTCGGGTTATGAGGTAATGTGTGTTAAGGGAATCAATATGATTGGTTGGTTTTAAACACGGATCCCACACAGAAGGATGAACGACAGTTCTGAACTCTAGTACAAAATGCGCTGAACGGATTTACCTTCATGGGTTGAATGCATGATAACGGACCTTATACCGTTAGCATGTTAATCGCCAACACCTGGCACCCTACATCAAATCTCGTTAAAACCCGTCAGATCTCGCGACAGTCCTCGAGCTCGTTGCGATAGAAAGATGGTTAGAAAAGTCACAATTTTGAGTAGGGTACGCTTACGTACAGCACATAGTCTCTTAAATGCAGCACATAGTCTCTTAAATACGGTAAGGCGAATATTGACACTCAGACCACAAAAATTCCGAGCATGTCTCATGCAACAGATCTTATTTGATTTTCCAATTCTCAATGCAGACAAGCCTTCAGTTGCAAGATCAACAGCCACCCTGCGAGCGTTGCAAAGCCTTCTTCACGGATGTCAGCCAGCGAATCGGAAGAGACATCCAAATCGATGTAAGTTTGTTTATTCTCTGTTTGTCTTCTGTTGTTTATTTTTGCTGAAAATTTTTTTAAAACGAACGCTAAGCAAGCCTGGTAAATCTTAACCCAAACCATCTATTATAAGTCGACATCTGAGACATGTTTTTAGGCCAAGTCTAATTTACAAGTGACAGTCGGTCAGTCAGTCGTCAGTTAGAAATATATAGGCTGGCCCTCTGGGGCCAGCAAAGTCAAATGTATGGGCTAGGTTGAGAATTGTGCAAGTCTAATGCACAGCTGACAGTTATACTGGGTGAGTAAAAAAACCGGAACCCAAACCCCCTAAAATATATTTGATATTTAAACAAATATGTAGCACCAGCAATAATAATGACTAGAAAGCCAATTTCAAAAGCTACCTTTTTTAGATGAAAAAAAATACTGAAATTGCCTTATCCGTTCAAAGAATATCACCATTTAAACGCAATGACCTGAAACCTGTTTCGTTAAAAAAAAAACAAATTTATTATGTATTCTGACTGTTTGGAACAAGAAAGAAAATGACACAGAATACTTGTTTCAACAACTGTCAACAACTGTAGAACACAATATCTTTATTAACAACCCTGGTTTAAGGCAAACAATATGATTTATAAAATCCACTTTTTTATATATAAAAAAGAAAAGAAAGAAGGGGCTCATCAAAAGGGCATTGTCGAATATTTGTAACTTTTAAACTGAGGTTTTATCGCTGGTGATGTTTGAAGACAATTGCCACGACGATTCTTCAAATCGGTGTTTTTTTTATAACCCGGCCCCGTACGAAGCTTCGACGCCATCTCTGGCTCAAGACATGTTTTGAAGCTTTAATGTCAAGTGAAACCTTTATTAAAATACCCTAAATTGTGGTATCAGTGTAAGCCTACAGGATCGAATGCTTTCGAAGTCCATGGACCTTTATTGTGCCAAGAGTCCAAAGTCGGAGGGGGAAAAAAATCCTGACACCTGACGCAAGGTTCGGAAAACGAACCCCCCCCCCCCCCCCCAGCTACTCACTTTCACTTGCAATTTTTCATCACTGTGATATTTCTTATTCAGGTGGCTATATCAAAGCAGCTGGAGAAAACCTGCGACGGTTTTTGTTCCCTTGCCTCCTGGTGCAAGAAGGCAGTGGAGAGCTACACTCCGACTATGATACAAACCTTCCCGTCTACACTGGTAAACGAACAGCGAGTAACAACATTATTAGTAAACCGTACTAGTAAACCTTATTACCAGTGGCGTAGCTCAATGATAATTTTTTTAGAAACTCAAAATCTCAGTGGGGGGGGGGGGGGCGACTGGGGGCGACAAGGTTTCATGGGGGACGGCCCCCCACGCCCCCCCCCCCCCCATGGCTACACCACTGCTTATTACAGTAAACATTTTATTAATAAGTAAACCTTATTCCTTAGTAGTAAAACTGTTTGTAAACCTTATTGGGAAACTCCATTAAACCGTGCATTATTAAACCTGGTTAGTAGTTCGTATCAGTTAATCTATCGATACATATTTTCAGTGAACTTTCAGTGGCTTATCCCATTGTTTACTGGACACCGTAATGGTAGGAACCTCATTAATATTAGTGAGGCTTGACAAGATTGATAGATATTGCGCACGCCAGTGTTACAATTTTCAAAATTGCAGGTAGCGAGGCCTATTTTTCCGATTTCAACGAAAAGTAATGAACATATCACAACAACTTTTAGCCCATACTTGGATCATTATAGGGGAAATAAATCCCGAAAGTTGCATGAAGATACGGTCCTCCAAACTGGAGATATTAATTCTCAAAGATTTCACCCGCCAACGTGACCATGTCTGTGTACTGTAGTTTCATTCAAAAAATACGTAACCTTTTAGAAATCGCCCTTCGCAACCATATATGGCTGCATTAGGACCATTGAGGCGAAGACAGTAATAATGTAACCATGATTTTGTAATCTTTCTTCGCAGGCTAATCCGAATGAAATCTGTGCACAGCTGAAATATTGCTCAGCAGAGAGAACAGCTGATATGCCGAATCTTGTCAGCAACATGGCCGCTAGCATGGAAAAGGTAGTTGTCATTTTTTAAATTTATCTTTAATATCAACCTCGACTCCTTGATATATTCCGGAGTAAAGGCATAAATAATAGGTTTTGTGTTGCAACTAAAAATAATGTACCCTAACTCTGTCATTTATCAATCAAGTTTCCTTGACATTCTGCCGTAATACATAAAGTATGTAATGAATGAAGTACAATTACATTAAAATGGTACCTTAGGGAGACATTTTGCAGTAAATTAGTTATGTTAGTGAGACATGGATCATCAGCGAGACATTTTAACGGTCGCACGACCGTGCAATAGAACATCTATTAACCGTGCAATAGAACATCTAATTACCGTGGAATAGAACGTCTATTTTTTGCGGTGCGGCCGGGTCGTGGGTTGGGACGAATAATTCAATGACATGTGATCAACGACCAACCAATTATAGATGACGGGGATTTATTCAGGGGTTGTATAATAGCTTATAACTACCAAAAACCTGATCAGTGGTTTGATTCGACGTTATGGTTTTGATTCGATGTTTGATGTCGAATTATGGTGACGGCTGTTCCATTTTCAGCTTCACTTTATTTTTAATCGAGGGTTTTAAATGCTTCGGTAATGTACTGCACGCAGCATCAATGTTTGGTTTAATGTACATCCATTGTTTAATTTATTATTTCCTCTCCCTTTTGCATTGTTTCTGTGCAGCAAGAGGATCTCGCCATGTCCCAGAAATTAAACCGACGCAAGGCATGAAAATGGCAGCACGGGTTGCACATGTCAAGTGTGAAGTTATATTTACTATAGTGTGTTAAGGTAATCAGGGAGCTACCGCGGACGAATGTATTTGCATTGTATTTTAAGTGTTATGAAATGGAAATGTGAGACCGCCTCTATTGAGAGAGCAATCAGTAAGGGCGAGTCGGTGCACTCTAAAAAGTCCCGGGTCAGACTTGACCCGGAAAAGGGTCATGTGGGGCCTGAACCTTTTCTGAGTCAAAAATGACACTTTTTTGACCCGGCAAAGGGTCTGGCCCCACATGACCCTTAGCGAGTTGACCTGACACCGTCTCGTAGAGCGCTAGTACGGTGTTTTGGGGGATGGCAGGTTCAAGTCCCGCTCCACGCAATCTTTGATTAACATGGTTTAAAGGTTTTGATTTAGAACCTTTAAGCCTGAGGTAACGGGTTTAATATTTTCCAAGAGCAAAGTCGTTTTTGATAGCTAGGCCTACCTATAGTTAGAAAAAAAGTAAGCATATATACTTTTACATTCTTCTTGTCCATACCACAGTGCTATCCAAAGATTATGCTATTGATTTAACTAAATCGTCACCGACACCACGAAGTAACACCCATCTACATACCAGTAAAAACTAGCAATCGGAGAAAACGGTAACTAAAGTTGAACGCCTTCTAAAACAACACTTTGCGTCAAAACGACAGAGTATTTTCAGTTGGGTTTCTCGTTGTGGACACTTGATGAATTGAATTTATTAAATCTGCTGTTTTTCACTCGTTTGTGTATTAAATAAACAAGAAATAAGAGAAAAAAGATGAGTGTTAGTTCGTGAAACCGAAAAAGCTGCGAAACTGTAAATTTTTGTTTTTACGAAGTAACACTCTTCAATGTATTTAAAAAACACGAGGAAAGTGCAACTTCAGGTCAGCGCGCGCGCGCTCATACAACTTGTTACAAGAAGAGTGTTACTTCGTGAAAACGTTTTTGCTCACTTATGAGCAGAGTGCGCGCCATGCATTGCAATGGAAAATGGAACTTGAGTGTTACTTCGTGAAAACGAAAATTGTCACTTTTGCGCAAAAGTTGCCATGGATACTTAGCGTAATTATTAAAGTAAAGCTCTTGAAGCTTTGAAACTTCGTGCAATGGTAGGCCTTGATGAATAATGTTTAAAAATTCAAAAAACTGAAAATCGAAAAAAAATATGCTTTAACACGGTAGAGTGTTACTTCGTGGTGTCGGTGACGATATGTAACTAGGAATTCGATGTTTAATGATTAACTATTATATACATGGTACATGTGCTTAAACCTGGTATCACAGCACAGAAGAGCCACTTTGTGCCTTAAGGGACGCTATCAGTAACAGTGTTCAATGCATGGTAGTAGCAGGAGTTTTCAGCGAGATATTCTAGCCTCAAGGGCGGATCCAGAACCAACTTTTTTTAGGGGGGGGGACGAGGGCTCGAGTATTTTTTGTTTCAAAAAAGGAAGGGCATTAAGTATATAGTATCGTGCGCTGTTTCCACATTGTGATATTAAAATTAAAATGTATTCGTAGATGATGGCTTAATGCGAGGGAAATACGCAATGTTTTAATGTATTTCCGTAAAACTAAAGACGAAAAGGCGTCTTCACTTCTCCGATTAAAATGAAATCGTTTTGTAGGGGAGGGGACATGGCCTCTGTCGCCCCCCCCCCCCCATCCGCCTATGTTAGAGTGTAATACTACTCTAGTTATTTCTGTTAAATAAAGAAACATCAGGTTTGAGCTGAACAGCAGTGATTTCTATTAATTATAAAGACAATTAAAAAAAAAAAAGCACTAGTAAAATCGCACAACGAATAAAACGTGGGACCAACAACGTTATCTTTGTTTTTATTTTTTTAATTCCGTATCATTTTATCCAAATAATTTTGAAGAATATAAATTGGGAATATATACCTATTCAATTAGCAGAATATAAAATAGGAGTATCACGAGCTTGCCCGATACCAATATCAAACAACACAAAGAAAATAAGCATGTTTTCTATGGTTCCAAGTGTGTGGGTGACTCTACACGGTAATTGCAGTTACTCCACTGATCAAATTATACATAGGCTTACACTGTATATGAATATGATTATAAATAATAGAACATAAAATGACAACCTATTGGACGCAAATATACTTCATATTAAAAATTGATAGCAAATCGAATCCTGATTAGTCTATTTGCCAAATACCGATTTTAACATTAACCCCGTTTAACCGTTCACGCCCGGTTTCTTGATGTTTTCTTGGCCTGCGAGATATGCTTTTGCCCGATCTGGATGATGCCATCTCGGAATCCTAAGGTGAAATTGAGATATCCAAGATGGCTTCCAGGATGTTTTGGGTTTTTTAAGGGGGGGGGGGGGTGCTTTCTTGGCATTTGAGACCTGCCAATCGTAAAACTGCATGATGCACCGTGGCATCTTTGAGGAAATTTAGATATCCAATAAACATGGCAGTCAGTTTAATAATGATATGATCACACGCAGACTCTTACAACAACTATTTAATTTAATCCAGCGCCTAAATTGTATTTTAGTGTTCTGTTGATCCGTTTTTACAATTTTCCATTCTTACCTAATTTCTTTCCCTAAAACAGCTCCCAAAAATGGCCGTTCCATGGTCGTGATCGTAGCTACCGTAAGCCGGCCGTTGACGAATAGCACAAGACATTTTAAGTAAACTCGGTGGTGGACTGAATATCAAATGTTTAACGTTCAAATTTGTTTTTGAGCCAATTAATTACTGGTTGTCACTCAATAATTCCGTTCTTGCGGAATAGGCTGGTCCCCGCCCATCATCGGTATCGATAAAGTACGGACTGGGAGCCAGTCTGCTCCCAAAGCGTATCTTTTTATGCCAATGCAAAACAAACCCTTTTCAGAGGGTTGCTGACGTCAGAAAAGGGGGGGGGGGGACATTTTTTTCGTGGCTGAAATAAAGCATGAAAGTTGAAATGTATGAGTAGAGAAGAAACAAAAATTTTGTTGTAGAGCATGAGGAACGCAACTTTAAGGAAGGTGAACGCAACAGTTCAGCATGGAATTTAAAATCAGATTTATTACAAAACTAGCTAGTAAAAGAGTAATTCTATAAACAGTTAACCAAACAAAAATAACATCACCAGAAAATTGTCAAACATGTCACGCAAATTATCGAGTGGGAACAGGTTCAGAAGTGAATGATGAACAAACACAATTATTGAAATGTTGGTAATGTAAACAAATGAAGGTCATGCTATAACATATGTTCCATTAATGTTGTGTTTGCAATTTTCAACTAATATCATCTGCGAAAAAAATTGTGTCCAAAAGTTATTATTGCTTATTGAATAACAAACCATAGCTTCGCAGATGATTTTAAAATCAAATGAATTTCACACGATGGACATAATTATCTCGTCATCTCAAAATACAATGCTTGTATATAATGTCGACCCACCCAAAATAATACGTTATTTAGCTATGGTACAGAATATATAGGTCAAGATGGCCACCAAAAAGTTATTGATTTAAAACGCACCAACATTTTCTAACATCTACAATAAATCACAACACAATGCTTATATACACGAATCACACCAATTAAAAATCAGGAATAATGTTGTCAAAGATATTTATAAACCGTCACTCTTTAGTCATAAACTCTCAAATAAAAACAGAAGAAATCAAAAGATACACACTAAGAATAAAGTGGACGGAAACAGTATAGATTTAAACCGCAGCATAAAATTGAGATGTCACTTAACAATCTGTATAAATATAGTTTGATCTTGAATAAAATGGTCTCACTCCGCGATAAATACAAATATTATAGGAAAGATTTCCATATACGAAGTTCACTCAATACCCTGTGTACAAAGCCTATGAGATTGGACTGAAAAATTCTGTGTTTTCTAAGAAAATGCTTGTATTTTCTCACTGCTCAAATTGACTTTGATGACATGAAATTGCTATCTGGGGCCTTGTTACTCAATACAGAGCAAAATTAGTGAACTTCGCATATGGTAATCTTGCCTTATTATAATATGCCATTCAAACGCAGTCACATCTCCCTTGTGTAGGCCCTACTTGAGTTAGGAAGATTTATACTAGAACAAGCTCCTGGGCTCAGGGAGGGAGTGTCACGTGGTTTATCAAGTGGGGCAGATAGGGAAAATATGTGGGGGAATATTGTGCCTTTGATGATACAAGCATGGCATTTGGCATACAGAGTATGTCTTACGGAAGATATTTGGCTATGAGGCCACCACAGATTTGTCCTTTGAAAAAAAAATGAGCAATTTTCAAAATGAATGGCAGTCAGTATAATAATAATACGCTCGCACACAGACTCTTACAGCAACTATTCAACTTAAACCAGCGCCCAAATATGTATTTTAATGTTCTGTTCCATTCATACCTAATTTCTTCCCTTAAACAGCTCCCAAAATAGACGTTCCATGGTCGTGATCGTAGCTACTATAAGGCGGCCGTTGACGAAAAGCACAATATGTTTTAAGTAAGCCCGGCGGTGCACTGAATATCCAATGTTTAACGTTCAATTTTTTTTTTTTTTTTAGCCAATTAATTATTGGCCGACACACATTAAATCCGTTCTCGCGAAATGGACTGATTCCCGCCCATCATTGACATCGATAAAGTACGGACTGGGAGCCAGTCTGCTCCCAAAGTGGATTTATTTATGCCCATGCAAAACAAACCCTTTTCAGAGTATTGCCGACGTCAAAAAAATGGGGGGAGGGAAATTTTCTTGACTGAAATAAAGCATGCCAGTTGAAATGTATTTTGTTGTAGAGCATGAGGAACGCAACTTTAAGGAAGGTGAACGCAACAGTTCAGCATGGAATTTAAAATCCGATTTATTACAAAACTAGCAAGTAAAAGAGTAATTCTATAAACAGTTAACCAAACAACAGTAACATCACAAGAAAATTGTCAAACTTGTCACGCAAAATATCGAGTGGGAACAGGTTCACAAGTGAATGAACAAACACAATTATTGAAATGTTGGTAATGTAAACAAATGAAGGTCATGCTATAACATAATTTTCCATTAATGTTGTGTTTGCAATTTTTAACAAATATTATCTGCGAAAACAATTGTATCTAAAATTTACGATTGCTTATAGAACAAACCATAACTTCGCAGATGATTTTGAAATAAAATGAATTTCGCACGATGGACGTAATTATCTCGTCATCTCAAAATACAATGCTGTATGCATGTATCTAATGTCAACCCACCCAAAATAATTCCTTTTGTTAAACTACGGTACAGAATATATAGGTCAAGATGGCCGCCAAGAATTTATTGATTAAAAACACACCAACATTTTCTAACATCTACAATAAATCAAAACACAATGCTTATATACACGAATCACACCAATTAAAAATCAGGAATAATGTAGTCAAGATATTTATAAACCATCACTCTTTAGTCATAAACTCTCAAATAAAAACAGAAGAAATAAAAAAATACACACTAAGAATAAAGTTGAAAGAAACAGTATAGATTTAAACCGCAGCATAAAATTGAAGATGTCACTAAAAAATCTGTATAAATATAGTTAGATCTTGAATAAAATGGTCTCACTCAGCGATAAATAAAAATATCATAATATGCTATTCAAACGCAGTCACACTCCCTGGTGTACTTGAGTTAGGAAGATTTATACTTGAACAAGCTCCTAAGCTCAGGGAGGGGGTGCCACGTGGTTTCTAAAGTGGGGCAGATAGGGAAAATATTTGTGGGAATTGTGGGCCTTTGTTGATACAAGCATGGCATTTGGCGCACAGTCAGAGTATGTCTTACGAAAGATATTTGGCTACAGATCTACTACAGATTTGTCCTTTAAAAAAATATAAGTAGAATAACAAGCAATTTTTAAATTGACTGCCATTGCTCGTTATTCTATCTATATTTTTTTCAAAGGACAAATCGGCGATGGCCCTATAGCCAGTACTGCCTATAGCCAAATATCTTTCTCATGACATACTCTGACTATGTGCCAAATTCCATACTTGCATCATCAAGGGCAAATCCCATCACGTATCTGCCGTACTAATATTGGCGGATTCTCAACAAAATAATTCAGTCATGTTCCGACACCATTCCAGGAGAGTTGCAGATGAAGAATTTCAGAAAGGGCTGTTAATATTTACACCATTTAAAACCCAGTGAATTGGAAAGAAGAGAATCGCAAACATTTATAAAATGTTTAGTCCTCCCTATTTTATCTTTAACGCATAATTGTTAACGGAAACTGAGCTTCCATTCGATATTTGTTCTCTTCTCGGAATTACTTAGCTTGGAGCACAACCCCTCCAGCCTCCAATGGTCCCGGATAGATACTGGTGTAGGTGGGCGGAGAACTCTCAAATTTGACACTCATGTCCTCACTGGTACCCGGCAGTAGCGGGTAACCCGCCTTCAGACGATCAGAGTTGGAAGCCGGACCCCACTCGGGACTTGGTTTGAAGGAGAAACGCAAACGCTACAAAAAAAAGAGAAAGAAGTAGATATTGCATTAATTTGTAGAATCACTGAAACTTGTTAGAGTATAGTATTTAAAAGGGACACTTTAGGAAGCCTTTTTCTTTTCTTTCGTCTATGAGCCGCCGACATAGTTTGTTCACAGACCTTGTTCTTTTTGTGGGCGCTCCGGAAATAGGCTATAAATAGACTGCTTTAAGTAAAGAAGACCATTGGCAGCTATCCAAAAAGTAACCGACCAAATTATTGTTAAAAGCTTACTAATCTTGGTTTAAAGACAGTAACGATACTAAACTCCCAATGAAATTATTCCTTCTGGCATGCTGTCATTTAATTTTAAGAAATCAATAAAGGAAGCCCCACTCTATACATAAGTCGGTTTCTTTTGTTCAGTTAAGCGGAAAGGGTTTTGCCACACGCCAGGGCGGGTAAAATGTTATACAATGTATACAAATTGTTGACTGTTGTAAATAGTCTGGCCAGGAGACAAACGAAAGAGTTCAGAAAGTGAGCATCGAGACTTTGTTGTTGCTTTAATAATGAGTTTAATCAATGTGATTCTAGCGCAACGGCACAACAACAAAATTTGTCCTGCAAAACTACTCCGGGAACAAAGTGACTGTGCTGGAAGGAAGGAACTGGGCTGCTATATTCTTCAATGAACTGACTTAATTCTTTCAAACATGTTCCAACTGAGAGGAGTACAAGTTTAACCTTTTCTGACGTATTTGTGACAGACTATAGACCTACCTCCATCAGGGTGTCCCCCTTAGCTCGCACTATCAGGAAGAAGGATGCATAGATTGGGATAGCCACCACTGCAGCAAGCACCATCAACCAACCCAAGGCTTCGGCAAATGGAGGATAGGTGTAGCTACTGTAGGTTAGATTGCTGTAAGTCACAGCAAAGAAGACAAAGATGGCCTACAGGAAAGAAGAAACAAACGTGACATGTTCAGATGTGAAGTTATACACCTGCAACATTTTTCCACGACAGGTTGATTAATTAATTGTTTACTTGATTGATTTACTTACAGCCAGTACAAGTGGAGCCAACGCCACAAGGCAAACTTTCCAGTACAGACCCAGTCCGCCTGGGACCATCACTGCCATATCCTTGCTAAACCTGTTGATTCCTACAATACAAAGTACCAACAACAACAAAACAATATTAATAAAGATACCGTATAGATTGATCAATAATAATACTTGTGACTGATGGATGAACATTTCAAAGATAAAGCGCTCTTAACCATCGGCGTTAGTGTGGCATTTTCCACGCACGGTTCCGTGACCGTATACTACAGTTTGTAGTACACGTAAAAATAGGGGTCCAAATTAAACTCGACTATTTGCTCTCTATCAAATTTAGGTTCAACAGTAGTCAGAAGACTGCAAACAGCCGTCTCTTGAGCATGCTGACTAGTCTTGTGGACAGGATGATTGAATATCCATGCCCTGCGGTGCGGCTGGCTAGACTCACTACAAGGATTTTATTACTCAAGCACGTGGTTCTTGACAGAGAGGCTGGGGTTTGGCTAGGATTTTCAGCCTCAATAGTTCAACTCTGGTTAAAGGTGCTACTACCACTTTATTTGGCTATGTCTGAATGAGGGACTTGTAAAATATAAAAACAAAAATGACCCCAAAATGGACTAATTATGAAATTAATCAAAAGCGTGAGACTACACTATTTATGGTACGTACCCTGCCTGCGCGGAGGAATTAAGGGGTAAAGAATCAACAAAGTCTTGGTTATATTCTTACACCAATCACAGAAAATCTTACCATAAACAAGGGAGATGACCACACACTCGAGCAGAGCGATCAGCAGAAGTGAGAACCCTGCCGAGTAATTATCCATCAAAGTCAACAGGTAGATACCTCCCTGGATCAAAACAAACACAGCATGCGATCAAAAGCAGATCAACTCTATCAGCTCTATGCACATACGGGGTGAGTCAAAAAGAAAGTGACCTGGATTAATAATTTTCCCCTTAAAAGTCAATTAAATTTGATACACCGATAAAGCATTACTTCGTGCTTTGCTACACTCTCCAAAACTATTCAATATTTGCACATTTTGCTTGTAAAGTCAATGACCTTCAAGAGAGCAAGGCATTTTTGCGAGCATGTTCTTCCACTCGTGTGAAAAAACAATCACTGAAATTGATCCATGCCATCAAAAGTTATGCATTATTTTACAAAAAGAAACCATTTTACACCTGTCCATGGAATGCTAAGTGCTTCGAAGCTAGCCATTCAGCCGAGTGAGTCACTTTCTTTTTAACTCGTCATTGTGGGCGCTACACACATCTTAAAAACAGCATGTGGCAGGTACCAGATAAATAAAATAGATTGAATGTATGAGGTCATATTTACCCTGGTTGTCATGGGCAACCCAAGCAAGAAGAACGTGCAGCAGACTATGAATGTGATCAATGTCTTCCATTTGTTGATGTTCTTGAAATAATACTTCAGCTCATCAGTCACTGCGGTAATCAACGTCTCCGTCATCACAAACTGGAACAGAAACCACACAGACAGCTTATCAAGCAACTACTATTTGAAACACTGACGGGCATATCCCCCAGCCTAAATCTGGCTGTGAAACTTCGAATGTGAATTAACCATGGATCCTATACACACAAGGACAAACGACTGTTCTGAGCTCTAGCACAAAATGCACTGAGCGGACCTGCCTTAATTGGTTAGACGCGTGATAACGGGCATTAATACCCGTTAGCTTGTAATCGCGAATTTTCCAGGTGTGCCATTATGTCATTTTTTTGCATGACATCTAAAACGGAAATCTTCATAAAACTGTAGGCAAAACTGCTCCTTATGTATGATATTATATGTATAATCTTGTGATATGTAATTGTTCCAAAAATTGTAAAAATAAATACTTCAGGATATATATCGTCAAAGATGAAGAAAATAATAAACGTCAAATTTCGAGGAGAACACAGTTTACCCAAATTTCGTTTTTAATTAGTCTTTCATTAAAAAGTTTTTGAGAGATGTGGTCCCTAACCGATGAAACAAAAGCAACATTTCAGAGTTAATTTTAAAGCTAGAGATATTGTGCTCGGCGTTAACTTGGTTATGTAGTTATCACTTATCAGAATTCAATAATAAAGGACGAAAACATAGGATCATGAATATTCAAAAATATAATTAGCTGGCTTGACAGACTTCTACGCAAGATCAGGCGCAGAGCCCTGCAAATCTGAAAGCCGCCGCGCGCAGGGGTCTTTGTTGACAAGTATTCGTGGTATTCCCACCCGTACGGGCCGTTATCAGGTGTCTAACCAGAAGTTTTGCAGAGTCGTTAATCCTTGTGGGTAGGATCCGTGAATTAACCCTCTCCCTATTCTAGACACAGCACTTACCGTTCTTATCCCAAGAGGCTGTATATAGAAGATAATGTTTGTATTTCACTCACCTGGCTATCCAAGCCCAGAGTGAAGAGCATGAAGAAGAAGAGAATGGACCAAAGAGGAGCGATGGGCATCCTAGCCAGGGCTTCTGGGTAAGCGACGAAAGCAAGGCCGGGACCTGTGGGAGATTATCAATAAACATGACGAAAACTGAAACATTTCTGAACTGACTGTAGTCCGCACTATAAATGCTAAAATTCAAGATACCATTCTGTTATTTTATTTGTGATGTGCTATGTGATATTCCTAACCCTGCTTAATGCAACAGAAAGCAACAAAGGTAAAACGTTGTTGAATACTGTTGCATTTAGCAGCCAACTCAAGTCCCCGTGCTTTGTTGCATCTTGTTGTATTTAGCAGCTAGGTAACTGCTCATAAAAGTCATAGTGCCAAGGCGATACAAGAGTATCCACTTTTGCAGTTTATAGCATTAAGCGCCTTTTTTAAGGTGACTGCTTGGTGCCAAGGTTGGTGTGCACTGGATTCACTGCACAACGCAACAGAATCCACGACTGTTGCAGTTTGTTGCATTTAGCATGGTTCTCATTTGAGTTGAGTTGGATATTGTTGCATTTAGCAGGGTACCTGAAAAATACCCGATTTGGTTAGTGATATTCGACGTTTGTGGAGTTTCAAAATTAATGTCTGCATTTCAAATTCAACTAAACGGTTGCTTTGTGTGGACTGAGTATTCGGTGAGTTGCTTGGAAAGGAGGTGATATGATCAAAAGAAAGAAACATTACTTACCGGTGTCAGCGACCGTATCAATGGGCAAACCAGAATCATGAGCCATGAAACCAATCACAGAGAAGATAGCAAAACCAGCGAAGATACTGGTGCCACAGTTAGTGAATGCGATTATGATGCCATCGCTGAAAAATAAGAAGAATCAGAAAGAAGCTCATGAATGTCATTTTTACAAAACGGAACTGAAAACTCCACGATTTAATCAGATTCCGACAAGAACGACCCCAAAGTGAATTCGGAAATACTAATGGCTGGGAGGTGTTATTTGAAAGCACGAACCGTACGAAGTTGTTGTCAAATTTGTTGTAGCTAGCAAGTGTGTGAAGACCTCCCCAGGCTGGGCCAAGGGAGTAGAAGATCTGTACAGCAGCATCCTTCCAGACCTGTCAAGACACAAAAACAACCGACACAAGCCAGTCAGAGGCAGGTGGATTCACAAACAGGTGGACAATCAATTATGTAATTGGCTGAGGAATCTATCAATTTATATGATTTCGGAGCATACTTTAGCGTTCAGGAGTTTGTGAAACTCCGGCTTGATGTAGAAGATGACTCCATCGAGAGATCCCGGCAGAGTTGCTCCACGGATCAGTAAAATCAGAAGAACGACGTAAGGAAAGGTGGCCGTGAAATACACAACCTGCAAGAAAAAGTTTAAAAAAGGAATAAAATCAATAATTCGAGAGGACTTTGCGTAACTACCAAGCAAGCACTACTGTTGAATGATATGTGGTAAATCTTAGACATTCAGACAAATTCACGATGAAACAACTGACCTTTCCTGATGACTTTACTCCACGCACAATACACAGGAACACGACGGTCCAAGCCAGTAGTAAACACAATGCTATCTGCCATCTGATGGGCCCCATATCCTCCATACCGTCACTACGATCCAAGACATAGCGGCTATTAAAGAGACAATGATCAAAAGAATTCTTGCATTATGAATTATATAAATAAAGCACAAACGTCTCCATTATTTAACACTGGTCCTTATAGATATTACATTCTTAACAATTAGAAATTGTGAGTTATGATAAGTAGTCGCCACGCCCTCATACTTTGAGATTTAGCCACGCCCCTGTGATTGGTCAATTCGAATGCAGTGTTTTGTAATACAACAACAGCCGGGCGCGTATCGCGTAACATAATACAGAGCACGCGAAAGACTTTGTTGCTGTGTCTAGGGTATTCTTTAATCAACGTCTATGACGCGACAACGGTGAATGACCGAAGACCCGATATAGAAAGCACCCGCTGATTGGTCAAAAATGTAGAGGTCAAGATGCGGCTGTCTTGCATAATTAATCAGCGAATCTGCTCAAATGTTATATTTCGCCATGGTCTATCACATAGACTACCCAACAATATCAAGGTCTGAAATTCAAAGTTACATAAAAGGGGCTAGTAGTTGACATGAAAATATTCTCCATATTTGATTTTCAAAATCGCTTCAGTCTGTAAAACAAATCACAAATTAAAAATCTTTGAAGATAATTATCTTACTCCCAGAATTCCAGGGACGGTCGGGTGGATGTATTGAGGTACACCGTTGTTCCGTTGGTTCCATTGACTTTGCTGACCACACAGTTTGCCGTATTCCATTCTCTGTTGCAATCACTCCAGGGTAGGACTGAGGTGAACGATGCAAACAAGAAGAACAGAGTGTAGCAGATGACGACATTGTAGTAGATGGCCACAAGGGCTGTGATGATGCACATAGCATACCCCAAACCTAGGCAGAGAATGAAACAAAAATGTTTATTTCTGATAGAGTAAAGAAACTTGCACACAATCCAAGAGATGTAGTTGAGATGGATAAATGGAACATTTTAATTTTTTTTTGTTACCTTTGAAGACTGGCGAGATTGTCCAGATTGTGATACATCCTTTGCTAGCGAACTGACCAAAGCCTAACTCCATGACGAACATTGGTAGGCCAGCTATCATCAACATGATCACATATGGCACCAGGAACGCACCTAAACAAGATGCAAAGATTAAGATGGTTAATATCAACCGGTTACATCGCATATCAACAAGTTACATAATTATATAAGTAAATCTAATAAAAAATTAATGCGGAGTGACGTTGAAACTTAATAAGTTCTTCTTCAGAGGCAAAAAGACGGAACAAACATGTAGGGACTCACAGGCATGCAGGGTTGGAAAGAGAAACACAAAAGGGATTAATTGGGTGGGGGGTACGCCAGTGTAGGTGAAGATCACAGAGGACGAAGTGGAAGGACTAACAAAAGGACGGATTAAATTATATACATGATTGTACGTAGGGAGTCTGTCACGAGCCATATGGCCCATCAGGCCGGCATCATTATCTCCGGTTTCCTTGGCATTAAACAAAAGAGACTATTTCTATTCCCCCTGGATGGGATGCAAGTCCATCGCTGGTTACTCCCCAGCTTGCCCAAAGGACATGCCAAAATGGCCAGCAGCTGGATTCGAACCCCTGACACTCTGATCACGAGTCACGAAATCGAGGAAACAAAGGCGAATTCGAAATGTGTGTTTATCTGTTCTTTAGAATTAACTTATAGACTCGCGACTTCTAAACTCGCGACTTATAATTAAATCGGCAAATCATTCTTATACGGATGCATAGCTATGTTCCCAATCACTATGTTACCCCATCCCATGTCCTATGTTCCCCATTCCCTATGTTCCCCACAGTGACCCCATTCACATATCCACTAACCCTATTCACATATCCACTAACCCTAACCCTAGTAGAACACTGGGGAACAAATTGACTGGGTAACATATAGGGACTGGGGAATATACGGGACTGGGGAACATATACGGACTGGGGAACATAATTATAGGGACTGGGGAACATTGGGTGGACCCCGCTCATACTGCAGTGTCCATGGAATATCGGCCCATAAATTAGCAAGACAACTGTTTTGTTTTCTTTGATGTTTTTCACGGAACAAGGTGAAGGAAGCCTCAAACTATTCATCCATTGTTTCATTGCCGTTTTAAATTACTTTTTACCTCGATCTAATGTCAACTGTATTATCAGGGACATTCCCTTTCTGATCATTTTTTGGGACGAGTGCCAAAACTTCTCCAAATCCTGTTTTCGTGTTTTCTACAAATCCAGGCTCCCGGATCCACCCCATACCAAGACCAGCCCTACTTTGATGTGATCTTTGATAATTAAAATCGTACTGGTCATATCCGGGAGATCTGACACATGAAAAGTTACAAACATCCAGCCCTGATTCGAAGTGACACTTTTGATGCATGTTACAGACAATTAACACTCCCCTGTCTAGATTTGCACTTGATTCAAGGACTCCAAAACAGGTGTCTATCAAGTGTTGTGGTTTTTCCTATAGTCCGAAAAATTGGGACTCTCAATACTGTGTATGAAAGTCCAAAACTTCAGATGAAAACATGCAGTAGGCCCACTACTACTAATAACAATATTTACATGTGTAGGCCTATACCGCGCATTTTTAAAGTAAAATTGATCAAATGCGCCTTACAATATGAAGAATAAAACTTCAAGTAAGTTATTTAAAATCCAGTTTAAATACGCTAAAACCTAGAGTAATCAGGTAACTACTAGAAAATGACAACCATGCCAACACCACTTTAGTACCGCATCAGCCAACTGTTTCAAAAGAAACCACTGAATAGTCGATCTTTTCCACAAGTGTCGACGAAAAGTCTCCTTTAAAAATTGAATTGGGACCTCAAACTTGGCTGGTGAAATACTGAGGACCTTGTCTTTGCCTCATGAAATTTGCGGTGCTCTTGTCAGTCAAGGGATGATTAAAGTTGGCCTGATTATGTTTTGCTTTTTTTTTCTGCACTCAAGGTCCCAGTCTGGATTTTTACTAGACATGCAGGATTTTAATTTAAAGCGTTTTCAACTCCCAACCTTCAGAAATTCGTCAAATTGCGTCACTTCTGTTATGTTTGACCTACCTCCGCTAGATAGTTTGAAGTAATTTACGTTATAATGAACATTCGGCTATAATGAACATTCGGCTATTACAAACATCGCAAAATTAATGCACAGTTATGCCGAACATCATCGAATTCTGACAATTCACTCTCACTTTTTTTATGGTTTAATCAAAATGAAATAAATATGTTCTATGTATATATTTACCTCCTCCATTGATATAGCAGAGATAGGGGAATCTCCACACGTTGCCCAGCCCCACAGCGAAGCCGATGCAAGACAGCATGAAGTCCACCTTGTTACCCCAGTTGCCTCTTTCCGTCTCGTCGACTTCTGATGGCTTTCCATCCTTAGTTGACGACTGGATTGGAATGTCCTCAGCCTTGACAATGGCACCACCGTCAAGCTGGGGGCAAAATCATATTTGGAAATGAAATGAGGAAAAATGTAAAACAAAATCATAATTATTGACCTTATGCGTATAGCGGCTGTTAGATGGCATCTTTTGATATTTTAATTCAGTTACAATGAATGCATAAAAGGTTCACTTATGTATATCCCAGCAAAACAAAAGCTGAATAAACGTTTCTACGTTTTCGTAGAATAAAGGTCTACAGCACAACCATCGATCAAGCCAATTATTAAGCAAAGAAATTTGGATTAAAAACAAACAGAATTAGGAAATTCGAGTCAGATGAGATGGGGCTAGACTCAATACCCATGTTCTTCAGTTTTTCGCTTTTCATGCGCCTTAACCATTGACGACCATTTCACAGTCAGTTAGAGAGAACTGGTTTTAACAGGAAAGAATTGTTGTTTCCCCTTGATGGTGATACGGTCTGACAATATGGAATGAGTCAGCGGAATTAAGTCAACATTAATCTGGTGGATTATTGACACAAGCCACATGGGCGTCGCGAGGGGGGGGGGTTGTTGTTCAAGGGTGGCGCTCCCCCCCCCCCCCCCCCCCAGAAAAAAGGAAGAAGAGATGCGAAGCCATATTGCTTTTAACTTGATGGAGGAGGAGGGGGAGGGGGAAGAGAGCAAATGTTCTCCTGTCCACGCTCGGAAAAAATGATAAATTGAGAATATGTTGAAACTTGAAGTTAAGGAATTTGGGGGAAAGTGTGCTTTCCCCCCCACCCCGGAAAAAAATCCTGGCGACGCCCATGGACTCTCATATATGTATGAGAGCCCGGGCCGTAGTGAAAACATGCAATACAAGCAAATAGACTGGCACCTGAAACAACCAGCTAAACACCCTTTTAGTACTGCATCAATCAAGAAACATCTGGTGCCCTGTCTCGATTGCTACACATTCTTTCCCTAATCATGCCACCATACTACTGAATGGTCAGTCTTTTCCAAAAGTCGTACATGTAAAGCCGGTCTAGTCTTAGGATTCAAACTGAAATCCCTTAGCATCACTGGTGAAAATTATTGAAGAAAGGTCTCCTTTAGGCAAAAAAAGGTCTCCGGTTTCTGGTATGGAGCTTGCCCAAAACGCGGCTTTTTTTCTTTCTTTTTTTACCTGATTTTTTGGCTTCAAATGTCGGCTGATGACTGCAAATGGATCCCGACTAAACTTAGTGCACATAAATGGGAGTCCATAGAGGCCACATAAAGCTTATTCTCGACCATAGCCCAATCTATAAACACGTTAAAATTGTGCAGCAGCAAGATTCCAGTCAAATCAGTGAGTTTGGCGGTTTTGAGACATCATCCTTCACTGAAAAAAAACCTTTTTCATTTTGCCGACGCGCATGGCTACGGCGACGCGCGCGCATACCAGAAACCGGAGACTTTTTTTTTTGCCTTAATATTGAATTGAGACTTGGCTGGTGCAAAAAAAACTGAGGACCTTGTCTTTCCCTCTTGAAAAGTTTGGAGAATTTTTTTAGCTTAGGGGCGGGTAAAATTTGCCGACTTTTGTTTTGCATTTTTTTTTCTACAGTCAAGGTCCCAATCTGACGCAAACCACACACCCCACACACCCGATATTTTTGGATATAGCGGATTGACACCAACAGCAACTGTGACGTTGGTGTAAATGTAATTGACGGTTTCCGCCCGTACGATTCACGTTCAACATGACCATGTTATGTTGGGGTAGCAATTGTCTCCGAAGTTGTTATGAACATAGCTCTATAAGTATGGCTCATTAATACTGGTATACCTGCGAATTGTGAGCCACACCACGTATCGCGGTGTGAGGAAAAGTTGTTTTGAGAAAATCGAAATCGGGGGACTATTTTTTTTCACTTTATATTCACTTTAATGATACCTGGTTATAATAACCAGGAAACCAGGAAAGTCAGCTCTAGCCATGATGTCTAGTTATCCTGTAATTTCTAAGAGAAATTTGCAGAGATTTGGTTCCAACCCCCCCCCCCCCGCCACCATTGGTTAAATATCTTACCGTGAAAGCCTTGTTAGTGGAGGCAGCAGCCTCCAAATCCTTGTCTCCAGCAGGCATGATAAAGTCCGATCCTATCTGCAATTAAAAAGTAGCGAAATATTGCAAGAATTTGGTTATGAAATCCAAAACTTGTCGGTCATTTCTTCAACGCGACACCACGAAGTAACACCCGATTGGACTTGAGTGCGCCATACGCGTGCGTATTTGACAGAATCGAGTAATTTTCGTTTTCACGAAGTAACACCCAAGTGCACTGTGCGCTCAAGCCAGGTTCATACTCAGCGCGAAAGCGAACGCGAATGTGTGTCGTCAGGGCGTGTTTTTCGCGATGCGAATTCGCACAAGTTGAACACATTTCAACTCCGGCGAATTTCGCAGCGCATGCTCCCCTGACGTCAAATTCGCTTCGCATTCGCGTGGAGTATGAACCGGGCTTCACTCGGTAAATTTTCGTTTTTCACGAAGTAACACCTATCTTTATCTCACCAGTTTATAAGGTTTTTATTTTATTTTTTTCGTAATCCCACATGAATACGAATTAGTTACATTCCTGTCAATCGTTTTAAAACGTTTTCAACCGAATTGTATTTCCGTAACAATGTTATAACTTAAAACTTTGTGAGAACGAAAATCGTTCGCGGCAGAGTCTGAAGTGCGCGCGCGCACTTGGGTTTTTACTTCGTGAAACCAAAGTTTGTCATGTAGCGGTTTTCACGACGTAACAGTGGAATGGACTTGGGCAATACCTCGTAGTGTCGGTGACGATTTGTCACTGCACAAAAACAGGAAAGAATGTTGCAACCTGATGCCACCTTTTTTTCTAAATATATCATCTCAATGAAGGTCATTAATTGCAAAAATGATGATAAGACACGTATCTGGGACTGAGAAACATTTCCAATTCTGTTGTCGAAATACTTCGACTTTGTACACAACCGCTGAAGTGGCGTCAGGTTGTAACATTCTTTCCCCAAAACACGTTTTTTTTTCTTTGGATACGGAAAGCTACAGACAGTTACTACCCCAACTTCTCTCTGAAGAACTGCCCTGTTTCGTTCCGTCCTTTCACTTGCGAACAGTTCATATGAACTTACCTATAAGCAGCAAACTCAGCAACAAAGACGACAACGATGTGACGACGCGCTCAGCAACGAAGACAACGATGTAACTACGGTGAAATATTTCACGCACACAAGTAGCTGTGGAACAAACAATATCCAGGTATCTTAGCCAATGGAAATCAAGCGTTGCTTCGTCAATTTTGTTGGACAATGGAAGGGGTTAGGGTTGAGACCTGCGCAGTGCAAATATAATCAAGGTAGTGGACAAAATACTTGCCAAATTCCTTGGCAGTGCTGGCGCGCCCAGGAGGATATTATGCATATGAAAAGCCATAAACCCTTTGATAAACAACAAGAAGGAGTTACGTAAAGGGCGCGAAACAAGCCAGCACTGAAGATAAAAGCTTCTTTAGTTTTTCTCACTCGCATGAAAAAAAAACACAAGGAATGTATAGGCTTTGGCGGCATACATCACGGTTAGCCGAGTTGATGAAAAATGTGCTCATATATTATAGCAGGGCGTGCGTTTCATATGTTGTTATGTGTTTACTATTCAGCGCTCCATACTCAACAACCATTGAGTTTTAAGTAAATATACATCTGGGAGCTAGATAAGCCATTGTTAAAAACAAAATACAGAATGGCCGCACCCGCCAATAAGCACCAACACATTTCAAAGGTCCAGCTTGGTAAAAAAAAAAAAAAAGATCCATCTCCTGATGATCAGCCTGGTCTGAATGCTGCAACTGGCTGAACCATCCCGTGCCAAATATTTCAATAATTCAGAACTTGAACATAGACATTCTTTTCCATTCATGCAAAAAATAAAGTCACTGAACTCAATTATAAGCAAGAATATAATGGGTGGATCTCAAGTGTATAGACCAAAAATGTAAAACAACACAATAACAAATACCTTTCTTTGTTCAAGGAGTACACTAATTCTTCAAGTCCAGCTATATCATGCGGCAGTCCGGTTATAAAATGGCAAGTTGTCAAAAATGTGTCTTTTATATAGCTTGCCTTGCATGAATGAACCACGCACCGTGCGTCACACTTAAGCTAAGACGAAGGTCAAAGGCCTGACGTCACAGTCTCAAGTACAAGCTGCATTGTTATGAAGGTTCATCAGTGTACTATTCGCATGCGGGGGGTTTCATAGAAAAAAACAGACTGGCGCTTAAAGGGAATATACATCATTTGCTTTTGCTGTAACTTTCAGAAATGGATGGAATTGGGGGGTTGGAAATATATATAGCAAATATAGTTATGCTGACTTTTTTGAGGTTTTGGGTTCGAAAATGCTATAAAAACCAAGAATAAACAATCATTTTCCTGTAGTCTGGTTCCCTGACTCCATTTAAGAAGAAACAGAGCAGTTTACATATATTGGGGAATTGTAAGGTCAGGGAACCAGTCTAGCTGGCTTGTACCCGTTCATAGGTGTGTAATCGATTGCAAACAAGTGCGATGGTCAACTGGGGCCAGTATTTGAAAAAAAGCCAGTTTTTTCCAACGCTGATCGGCCGATCAGCGTTGGAAATTGATACAAAAATACCACTTTTCTTGAAAATGACAGTATACCAGGTGCCATGATTTTACAGGATGCTTTACACTGTCATTCACTAACAGTCCAGCAAGGTATTTCAAAATGATTTGGTAGTTTTATTTTAGTGATGTTGCAAATGTTGTATTTGCAAATGTTGTATTGTCCCTTTAATGCGCGGAACACGTGCGAGTTCATTTAGTAAATGACCATATGGAGAATCAACATGTGGAATATTAATAGAGCTCAAGACCCTTAGCCTAGACTAGTAGTAGTAGACGGGGAAATTCAGTGAGAAATACGATCCTCAACCGAGGATTTTTTTCTTTTCTTTTATTTACAAACGACATAGGGACTGTGTCAATGAAGGCCCTGTAAAATTATTTTTTCCCATAGTTTGACAATACAGAAATTTCGTTTTGTATTTCATACAATTCATTTTAAAGGTGTTTCAGACTGCACATTTGTGTCTATTTGTTTGCACATGTACTACTCCGTATCTTAGCAATTAATTAATGGAGGGCTTTGTTTTAACGACGGCTTGAAATACTACTCAAATAAGAAAATGCTGGATGAAATATAGTGAAGGACGATTGCATCAATTTTCATCAACAATTTCTTCATGACAAGAACAGAAGCTCTTTAATCTTTGAGAAATATGCATTAGTAAGGGACCGTCCCGTCCAACCGTATATCAGGCATTGAACTCTGTTGAAAAATAAACCGTGGGATATCTATATTTTTCATCAAATCATAAACAGGAACTTGTTTATGGTGATTTCTTGGAATCCCGGTTGTCCGTGTCCGTTGTAGTACTTGGAATAACACCCACTTCCCCAGTAGGGGTCAGGTCACAGATACTGAGCGGTGGGCCTACACGTTCGACAGTGTTTTCACGAAGTGACAAAAACCTCAATATCATGCAAAAAGGTCACTCCGAGATAATCGCCTTTGAAGTAAATCATTTTTTCAAAACACCTTTTCGACTAGTTTTTAGTTATGGATTTAGGAAATTCTTACATTGTCAAGTAACGTATGCTTTGTTCTTTGCTAATTCAAAGTTGTTTATTAGAATTCTCTCTTAATTAAACTGTAATTCATTAATAAAGATCAATAAAGATATTGTTCACTTCGTGAAAACAGCAAAACACAGAGGCCTCACAATTTTGTCCCATTAAGTTGTACACACTCTTCGTCACTTCGTGAAAACATAAAACGTTCTAGGAAATTGTTACATTTGCGCGTCTGACGTCACTGTAGCGCGTGCGCGTCTGTTTTTTAGGCCTATCGACATCGTTCACTGCGTGCGCGTCCAATCCCATCCTAACGTGTGTGTAGAGAAATGCATTATTCCTCTGGCCCTGCTAACAAGGTAAGTTTCCTTCACTTCGTGAAAACAGAAAAACACGGATTTCAGGCATTTCGTCAAATGTTTGTTTACGATAGTTACAAAAGTAAACAATATTTCGCTTTGAAACACGGCCAAATTCTTCTTTTTGTCAAGTGCAATCGATTTTGGAGGTTTTTGTCACTTCGTGAAAACATCGTTGATATATTGTCACTGACAATTATTTATGAGATATGAGATCCGTTATGTGACACACATTGCGGTTTACCCCTCACCTCCGCCCCTCCCCCCTATCTGGTTGCTATAATAGCCGTCCAGTGAACCTAACCTCCAGTCTGTAATAATTACGTGTCCTAGCTTGGCGTCTTATAAATCTCAACAGCGTCACGCACGTAGACAGACAGGGAGGAAATTGGTCGTTTACAGGGTAATCCCCTTTGGTTTTGCGGTAATCTGATCTTGATCGTTCTGTGGTTGGTGGCTTGTTGACAAGTTCAAAGTTTGTGAGAACAAGCTTGGGTTGTCAACAGAACAGGTTTATAATTAATCTGATTATGGTAACCATGGTAAAGAAATATCGTGAAGCTGGAAGATTCGCGTGTGACGTTTCGATTTAAACAATAATTCAAAGACAACGTAAGTGCGCGTAAAATCCAACTTTACGCTTAACTCAATCACAGAGAGGCAGGCAAATACGGGGCTAGCAAAAAAAAAACGAAACCCAAATGTCGGGACTATTGTTGAAGTGAAGTTCTACATGTAGCACTTTCAAAATCTAGGATATGAAAGCCCAATTCATAAGCTTTCTTTTAGTACAAGAAGCATTCAAATCTTTTCAAGTTAAGGAATTTTAAACACAACCACCGTTTTAAAGATCTGTCCACGGATCACAAAAAAAGGTTTGCGTTCTTTCAGTAAAAAGAAAACAATTCACACACATCCCTATCAAGTGCGGATCCGGGGGGGGGGGGGCAAAGGGGCCATGCCCCCCCCCCCCCCCAAAAAAAACTAACCCAAGGCCAAAAAAAAAAAAGTCTGCGGTTTCTGGTATGCGCGCGCATCGCCGTAGCCATGCGCGTCGGCAAAATGAAAAATGTTTTTTTTCAATGAAAGATGATGTCTCAAAAACGCCAAACTCACTGGTTTGACTGGAATCCTGCTGCTGCACAATTTTAACGTGTTTTTAGATTGGGTTATGGTCGAGAATACGCTTTATGTGGCCTCTCTGGACTCCCATATATTTGCACTAAGTTTTAGACGGGCACCATTTGCAGTCATCAGCCGACATTTGAAGCAAAAAAAATCAGGTAAAAAAAAAAAAAAGCCGCGTCGCCGCACCACTTTTTGGGCAAGCTCCATACCAGAAACCGGAGACTTTTTTTTTTTTTAAGTGACGTCGCAATAAAGGCAGACAATGAGTACACCACCATCTTTTCCTCAAAAACATTGGCTAAAGAGGTCAGAAATTGCCTCAGATCGCACCACAGAGCATCTAGAATCCAACAATTTGCCGTAATTTTTGGACCCACTTTTTGGGCGACCAAAAGTAATTGTGTTCTGGATCCGCCCTTGATCCCTATGAGAATTGTTTTCGTTTTGCCAAAAGAAACTTTTTTTACTCATCCCTGTGTACAGAGAATTGGCAGCTATCTCGTGTTTACAAAAGAGCTTTCTTTCGAAGCCACCCCACTTCAAAATTCTTCACTGTCTTTAGTTTCAGCAAAGTTATAAATTCACAACTAAGATATTCAAATTTGTATCCTAGTGGAGCCATTGCTCTCGTGTACTAAACTATTGAGATGGAAAATCTAATTTAAAAATGCTCCTATTTTCACCAGAATGAATTTCCTGGTCTGAAATTCGGACTTCTAGGCCTAACTTAATACCCCTTACACAAAATTCCTCAATTTGCGGTGGATCAACACACCTTGCAAATTCATAGTGTTTGAGTAAAAAACAATTATATTTCGTGATACGTACCCTCGTGGAGACGTATTCGCTTATAGAATTGCCCAATGGAGTCGTATTATTCTGTTCCTTAATATACCCATGTCTCCACAGGGTACCGTGTACCAGATCTGAATAAACTGGACGTTTTGTGTTATTCTTGTATATTCGTGTGAGAACGAGTTTCGGGTTGCACTTTTGCGACCCACCTTCGACGGCTTGAATAATTGCAGAGGGATTAAATCGGCACTTGACCCGGTCCGGTTGCTATGGTTGCAACCAAGCACATAAAGGTCA